ATATACTCTCACACACACCTGCACCCTCACACACCTCTCAGACCCCTCACACACACCCCTTACACACACCCTCACACACACCTTCACACACCCCTCACACATACTCCTCACTCACACCCTCACACACACTCCTTGCACAGACCCCTCACACACACCCCTCAGACATCCCTCATACACCCTTACACACACATCCTTCACACATACCCCTCACACTTCTCACACACAACCTCACACTCCTTGCACAGACCACTCACGCACACCCCTCACAAACCCCTACCTCACACACACTCCTTGCACACACCCCTCACACACACCCTCACACACACCCTCACACACACCGCCGCACCCCTCACATACATCCTCACACACATGCATCCCTCTCCCACACCCCTCATGCACCCTCCCACACCTTCACATACTCCTGACACATATACCCCTCATACAATTCTCATATTTGAATACACACACCCTCACACACACACCCCTCACACACACAAACCCCTCACACGCACAAACCCCTCACACACACCCCTCACACATATACACACCCCTCACACATCCCTCACACACACCTCTCACACACATTCACACGCACATACACAGACACAATACTGGCAGCCAAATTCACAGCATGGTGCATCCATCCCACCCTCTTCCTGAGCAAAGGGACATCTGTGCACAGCTGTTCTTGGCCTACACTCAGAAACAGGGAGGGTGAGGAGGTCTTGGCAAAAGGCAAAGAGCCAGAAGGGCTGGCTCCTAGGAGGCAAAGGCCTGAGCCTCTGAACTCCCTCCTTCCCAGGCTACAAAGATGTGGGCCCGTACAGCAGCTCTAGTGCCAGCCTCTGACCTCCCCTGGCCAGAGGTCCAGCCTCTTCGGCTCCTCACCACCCAAGGACAAACCTGAGGCCACTGCCTCTTATGCTCCAACTGGGAGTGCAGGGCCAGGATCATTTTTACAGTCACAGTTAAATGCAGTAAATTACCTCTTTTTACGTGCCAGTGACTGGCATTATTAATTTTGCTTTCAGTAAATCCATAAAAGAAGAAGTCAACAAGGAGACCCAAGAGGCATGAGTGGGTCAAATAAGTAAGTCGAGGATGTGGGATACTCCCGGCAGCAGGGCCAGCATGAGGTGAGAGGCCTGTGGTTTCTAGGGACACCCCTCCAGGGGCCTCAAAATAAACTGCCTGACTCCTCACTCGGGTTGGTATCCTGCTGCCTCTGGCTCTTCTGCCACATTGCAGACTGGCACCAAGAAACCTGTGTCAGCCCCAAGGTTCTATCCAGAGCCCTACAATATGAGACCTGAAATTAGACATTCTGGAATCTAGGCCAGATTCCAGCCAAACTCTGCATTTTACAGATGAAAAAACTAGGCTTCCAAAAGAGGGAGTGACTTACCCAAAGTCCACAACTAGTTAGCGGCAGAATATGGCCTGGAAGTGCACTGGGTGGAATGTTCTTCCCGCCTCATCCCTACCCCCTGCACTGCCTGAGAACTCCTAGTCATCCTTCAAGCCACAGTTGGGGGTCACCTCCTCTGGGAAGCCTTCCCAGCCTCCCCTTTCCTTCCAATTAGAGCTCGAGACTCTCTGCTTGCAGAGCCACAGTTCATTGTACCACATAACCTTGTTAGTGAGCCCAAATCAGGCTGGAGCACTCTGGCTCCACCTCCACACAGTGGGCACCTTGCATAAGGAAGAATGTCTGGTTTATCTTGCATCCTCAGTCCCCGGTGCTTAGTAGGGCACAGTCAATATAAAATCTAATTAAGTGAACCTCTTGATCAGCACCCACCACTTGACCCTCTCATCTCTCTTTTTGTCTAAACAACTAAGATACTCTCCATACCGCTCACTTCAACATTTAACAGCTTTCTAAATGCTTTTATGTTCCCAACTAGACCACAGGAACTGGTACACACGTGGCCGATTTCTCCCAGATGGCCTAGCCCAGTGGTTCTCAGTCTCAACTGCAGGTTGGCATCACTGGGGCTTTGGCCCCATCCCCCATACCTAGGTCTCACCCCAGGCTACCCCTCTGGGAGTGGGACCCAGGCATCAGAATTTAAATTCCCCAGGTGGTTCCAGAATGTAACCAAAGTTAAGAAACACATTTCTAGAAAAAATATGATACCAGAAACTATTTGTTGATTCAGCCAGTTCTGTGTGTGTTCAAGTGAGTGCAATTATAGAGAAAGACAGAGAGAGACACACACAGCGTGACAGAGAGTAAACAAGAAAAAGTTTACTTGGCAGTGTGTAGACTTGGTTCCTCTCCTTTGGCACTATTGACATTTTGAGCCAGATAATTCCAGGTTGTGGAGGCTGCCCTGTGCCCTGTGTACAGTGTTTAGCAGCATCCTTGGCCTGGACCCACTGGGTGCCAAAAGCAATGCTCCACATAGGTGTAACAACCAAAAATGTCTTCAGATATTGTCAAATGTCCCTGGGGATGAGGAGGCATAATTACCCATGGATGAGAACTACTAGTATAGACTAGCCACCCAATAATTGACTGCATGTTTGTTTCACATTTCAACTGTAAAACCTATGACCACTTTTCCACACTGGACTGAGTGCCTGAGGATTCTGAATATTGGATCAAGTGTCTCTGGGAGGGACATGAAGGACGGGATGGTGGCTCAGCAACAAGTTCTGAGGCAAGAAGGAGTTACATGGAAACTAATCAGATAGGTTCAAGGCAGTTAAGAGGAGCAGGTGGTGGTCAAGCCCATAAAAGGTGAGCAAAACAAACCAGAAAAAGCCAGATATTCAGTAAAATTGCAAAGTTGGAAGCAAGCAGAGGGCTGTCAAGGATTAAGGGAAGTGACGACCACAAGTGGGAAAAGGCAAACAGAGAAGGAGCTTTCAGAAGTTTTTGAGCAAGGGAAGGACCACGCAAAATAGGGTTTTAGGGCCAGAGTCTAGCCTGGCATGTAGGCTGGCATATGGACAGGGTGCAGGAAGGGTGGGGGGCAGGGAGCTGGGCTGCAACAGTTCAAACCCACCTGTTCACCCACACCTACAATGCCTCAGTTAGGACAAAGACTGTTATTTCACAGAGAGAGTTCAAAAGAGCCAGGTGCAGATGCTGGCACAGAAAATGTCAGGGGGCAGATGTGGGAGTCATTAGAGCTGCCTCTCGAGCACCTTGAGCAGGAGCCACTGCTTTGAGGACCCTTCAACCAGCTCCCCCAGCCCCTGCCAGGTCCCTGAGGAAGAGCTGCAGAATGGCTGCTCCAGGCATCTTGCCAAAGCACAGGGGGCCAGCCAGAGCTCCCCGACAGGATCCCTCCCTCCAGGCATCCTCCTCCCCATCACAGTTGTGCACATGCTGCCCCTCCTTCACCCCACCCCCTCCTCCTATGCCTCCCCCACCTTGCTCTGTCACCCCCACTCTCTTGGCTTCTCTATCTCTCTGCATTCCTTCTCAGCCCTTTCAGGGTTCCTCTTCCCCTGCTCACCTCTGAGTGTTGGTGACCCCAGACTTTAATCATGGGCCTCTTCTCTCATTGTCTCAAACTCTCTAACACCCAGACCTGTACTCCCCCCACTTGAAAAATCCTTCAGTTGTTCTCTACTAGACACAAGATAAAACTCAAGGTACTCAAACCTGTCTCGATCTTGCCCTGCCCACCTCCCAGTCCCCTCCAACCTTGCACTTAAATATTCTGAGCTACCTCTTATTCTACAAAAAAAAAAAAAAAAAAATTAAAAGCCACATCTATCCCTAACAGCCTGAAGTCATCTGTTCTTAAATCATACTGCATAGCAGCCATTTGCTTATTTCTGTCTCCACCACAGACTTTGAGCAGAAACCTACAGCCCCAGAACCTAGCAGGTACCTGATACTTAATACTCAGAGGAGTATTTACCATTTGCTGAGCACTTTCTAAGTGCTTTCCTAAGAAGTACTTTGTTTCACCATCATAAAATAATTATTTTACATTATTATTTATAATAATATTATAGTAATATCAGCAATTGTATTTATTATCCCCATTTTATAGATGAGAGTACTGAGCTACAAAAATGTGAAGAAACTTCCCCAAACTTACCCAGTTAGAAAACAGGGAGATTCAAACCCAGTCTGACCCCAGAGTCAGCACTCTTCATCACTGTGCAATACTATATCTTAATAAGAACCTTTAAACGAAATAATCAAATTATGCATGAGATTTTGCAGTGAATGAAGGCAAATGCTACTGCAGCTCTTTCTGAGCCTCAATATGGAGATTCAGGGAAGACAGGATAAGCATCGTGCCCAGATGAAGGGGCCAGGATGGGAGACCAGCCTGACAGACATGGCTTCCCAGACATTCTAACTTTGCTGGGTCACTGCTACTTCCCTTCATTGCGTGGCATTTTAGCCACCAAAGTCACTATCATTTTAGCAACAGGAGGAAACAAGCCAGGCCTGAATTGGGTCCGGGGCCAGCTAGCAGGGTCTAGTAGCATCTACTCACAGAAAGCCTGGCTCAGAAAGACTAGGCAGGTGGATATCATGACCCCACAGGGCAGAAGTAAGGCCAGAGACCAAAATCAGAGAGATGAGATCAGAGCAGAACTCCTCGGGCAGCTGGGGCAGAGATTCTCCCTGCCTGGAGAGACCATCATTGACCAAGGATGCTGGTCCAGCCTGCCCCAGGGCCTAAGGGAAGAGGCAGGAGATGGGCTTAGCATTGGCTAAAGGGAACAGCTCCCCAGCAAGCAGGACAGGGGTGACATTCAGCAGCCCTCTCCAGATTCTGGAACTCCCACCGTTGGCCCCATTATTTCTATTTTAAGTTACCCTGTTCACAACAGGTGAGTCAGGCTGGCACCTCCAGAGGAGAAAATGCATAGGTAAAAGATTGAGATTGCATGTATCTTATACCTGAAACTCTAACCGAACCCCCAATTAGCAGCCCATGCTGGGACTAACACCTAGTTTCATAATGAATCGCATTCAAATGATCACATTTTCTTTAAAACCGCCAGAGCCAAGCACTTACCTGCATTGGCTCGTCGGGGAATCCAGGTTTGCTTGGTCTATCCTGTCGCCGAGATCTTAGGAGCTGTTTGGCCTGCTTCTCCGTCAAAATCGGGGAGGTCTCTGGAAAAGTTGGGAAGGTGCCTTAAGGACGCTCAGGTTCAGGAGTTCATGAGCCATCTCAGCAGTCCAAGGCAAAAGATTTGCAAGTTCAATTTTGGTTAAAACACGAAAGTTCTTTCCCGGGGACCTGTCCCAAAGGACGCAGCATTCCAGAGGGCTCAGGGAGCAATTTTGAATTGTTTCGAACATAGTTAACTCAGAGCAAAAGTTGCACAACCTAAACATATTTACTGATTGCAATGGTCCATCTCTTTAAAAGTGAGGATTATTTTAATGGATCTTCAGTTCACTGCTCTGTGTCTCTTAGGCTTGCTTTCATGGAAGTTTTTTTAATCCTCAATACACTAAATCAAGTTTAAAGTCATTACTGGAAGATGCCCAGTGATAAGAAGACTATGTTAAACTTGATCATCACAACCCCTCAAAGGAGATAGTACAAAAGTGCTTTGATAATTACTTGCAAATTTTAAAAGACATTATCATAATAAAAATATATCAAATTTTGGTGATCTCATATAAACTCTAAAATAAGCTATCAGAAGCTGAAGATTTATCAGCATTTTTGAGAATTAGTGCTCAAATACATTTCAAGATTTTTTTTAAAAATATATAATGTAACTTTAATGATAAAAATTCTGGAAGCCGGCTCTTATGGAAAAAAAAAGAAAAGAAAAAGCATTGAAATATCTATATACCCTATATATTATTTAAAATTTTAAAAATTAACTGTTAAATAGACTATTATTTATCATGTCAGCATAGAAATAGACTGTTTTTGGAGTCAGTGCTCACCTGAGAAGACAGTCAGTAAGGTAAGAGACAGCACGAGCACAGGCAATGTCTTCATCCTGCCTTGGTTCCTCTGCCTCTTGCTGAGTGAATCCTCCCAGATGGACTCAACCAACTTGAAGGAAGCCCCGCCAGGTTCTGCACTTGTTTATGCTTTGACTAACGGGACTTACAGTATGATGCTGAATGTATCTGACTCTGAGCGTTTTAGTAATGACCACTGAAATATTTTCCTCTGAATTCCTGTAAATTTTTATCCTGAGGAAGGAAATTGTTACTCTGTAATATGACTTTCAGAGTTTGAAATTGAAAAAGCAACATGTGATATTCACTTCATTTAAACAGACAGATAAGCACCAGACAGACGTTTGTGAGTGTTTCTCTGGAGTTTCCGTTTATACTCCTGTTTCATTGAGAATTCATGATCTATTACACATTTGTATCTTTTATGACATTTTTCCAAAGCCCATTCACCAGTCTAATTTGATCTTCCCAATAATCTCAGAGGTAGGCAGGAAATTAGCAAGGGGCATGATGAGTGGGGGAAAACAATTTTCAGCTGACTTTGGAGACAGAAAAATAGAGTTCAAATGCTAGCTTCAATTTTTTCTAGCAATGTAACCTTAGGTAAGTGACTTACCCTTTCTGAACTTCAGTTTCCTACCCTGTCAAAAGGAGATAAGAGCACCTACCTTGTGGGGTGTGATAAAGGATGAGGGGAAAGCTATGACCTTCGTGGCAGCTAGTACTGTTCATCATCCATTTCCATTTTACAAATGAGAAAAGTGAGATTCAGAGATGTTAAATCAAGTTCAAGTTCACACATTATGGATGCCAAGGTAGAGCCTAAGTCTTCTGTCTTCAAACCTAGAACATGTGTTCTTCCTAAGAAGCCCTATAACCTCAGGGACAACTCCTCATGTTTTACAGGGCCTCACGCAACATGCTGTCATAAGACTGGAACCAGCCAGATTCAAGGGTATTTTTAAAAAGACAACAAAAGTTTAAGAAGCTGAAGTCATTTCAAATTCAAATCATCTATAAATATCACATGAAGAAAGTTTCTTGTTTTGATTTGCTTTGGTTTGGTTTGGTTTGGTTTTGGGATAGGGGTCTCACTTTGGGTCTCACTCCAGGCTGGAGTGCAGAGGTTCACTGCAGCCTCTAACTCCCAGACTCAAGCGATCCTCCCACCTCAGCCTCCCGAGTAGGTGGGACTACAGGCACACACTACGACACTCAACTAACTTTTTATTTTTTTATTTTGTAGAGACAGGGTCTCACTATGTTGACCAGAATGTTTTCAAACTCCTAGGCTCAAGTGATCCTCCTGCCTCAGCCTCCCAAAGTGCTGGAATTATAGGCATGAGACACTGCTCTCAGCCTAAGAAATTAAATACGTGATTAAAATATGTCTGGAGGGCATGTGACATTTATTTGGATAAAATTCGGTATTCAGGGAGATGATCTGATGTTTCTGTGGTCACTTTGCCAGCTCAAAAGAAAACAATACCCTATGTGTATTTCTCCAAATTTATGCTAATGTGTAACTGATATTAAACCTGAATGTGCTGCCCACACAGTTGGCATAAAGATATTTTGAGCAGATTGTAAACAAAAAAAAAAAAAAAAAATGCAATGTTAGCAAAGTTGTCTCACATGTTCATTTGCTCAAAAAAAAAAAAAAATTTTTTTTTTTTGAGAGAGGGTCTCATTCTATTGCCCAGGCAGAAGTGCGATGGTCCATTCACAGCCCACTACAGCCTCAACCTCCTGAGCTCACGATCTCACATCTCAGCCTCCTGAGGAGCTGGGACTACAAGTGTGCATCTCTATGCCCAGCTGATGTTTTTTCTTTTTTGCAGAGATGGGGGCTTACTATGTTAGCCAGGCTGGTCTCAAACTCACAGGCTCAAGTGATCCTCCTGCGTCAGTCTCCCAAAGTGCTGGAATTACAGGCAAGAAAGAACTGCACCTGACCCATTTGCTCAAAATTTGATATTTGATTTCATTCACTCTGCTGCTATTAACATCCTTCTGTTTTCACATAATTTTCAATAACTAAGGAATTTTAGAAGCTTTTTTTTTTTTTTTTTTTTTTTTGAGACAGGGTCTCCCTCTGTCACCTAGGCTGGAGTGCACGAACTTAGCTCAGCACAGCCTCAACCTCCCAGGCTCAAGAGATCTTCCTACCTCAGCCTCACTAGTAGCTGGGACTATAGGCATGTGCCACCATGCCCAGCTAATTTTTGTATATGTTCATAGAGATGAGTTTTGCCATGTTGCCCAGGCTGGTCTCAAACTCTTGAGCTCAAGCGATTCTCCTACCTTGGCCTCCAAAAATGCTTGAATTACAGACATGAGCCAACACACACAGCTAGGAGCATTATTTAAAAAAAAAAATTGTCACGTTAAACAGCTTGAGTTTTGTATGTGTATATTCAAATTTTTCACTCCTTTTACTCTTTGTGGTTGGATAGAACACTATTTTGTTTTATTATATCAAATAAATATCTTCTGTGGACCAGAAAAAAAAATCTATACTTAGCTATAAATTTCTAAGGTATCCAATGTAAATTTACAATAAAAGTATTTTTTTGGCCAGGCATAGTGGCTCACACCTACAATCTTAACACTTTGGGATTCCAAGGCCAGGGGATCACTTGAGCCCAGAAGTTCAAGCTTGCAGTGAGCTGTGATTATGCCACTATACTCAAGTCTGGACAACAGAACAAGACCTTGTCTCAAAAAAAAAAGTACTTTTTTAAATTTTGCAACTTTTATCTATATCAGCACTGTCCAATAAAAACATAGAGAGCCACAGATGCAAACAACATATGCAATTTAAATTTTTTCAGTAGCCACTTTTTTTAAGTAAAAAGGTTAAATATTTTCATATTATATTTTAACATGATGAAATATCCAAAATATTATTATTTTAACACATAATCAATATAAACAAGTTATCAATGAGAGATTTCATATCTTTTTTTTTGTACTAAAGCTCCAAGATCTGGTGTAGATTTTACACTTACACATTTCAAGTGTTCGGTAGCCACATGTGGCTAGTGCTACCATATTAGACAACATGCGTCTAGATCCTTCCTTCTCTATTGCCACCACCGAAGTCTAGGCCACTGTTTCCCTCACCCAGCTTCTGGCATCAGGCTCCCAAATGGGATTCTAGTTTCCCTCCCGGTTCACTTCAATCCATTCCTCAGGCAGCAGCAAGGATGAAATAGAAAGTATCAGTCAGACCTCATCGCTTCCCTGCATAAGAATCTTTCCTCATCTTCCCACGAAAGTCAGAATAAAATTAAAATCCCTACCAAGCACGACAGGACCCTGTGTTATTTGTGCCTAATGCCCTTTCCAACCTTACTCCAACCACTCCCCTCCTGCTCACTGCCGTCTGGCCACACTCACTCACTTTCAGCTTAACAAGCCCACTCCCACCTCAGGAGCTTTGCATGTGTTTTTTCTCTTTCTTTTAATAACTCGATCCATCTCATCCTTCAGGTTTCAATTTGAAATTTCTCCTACTCAGGAAAGCCTGCCCTTACCAGCCTTCTTAATAAAAAGTTCTCTGCCCCTACCACCACTACTACTCTCCATCTCACAGCATTCACCATAATGTATACATATTGCATTTATTTGTTTACTTTTTAAAAATCTGTCTCCTTCACTGGTAAGCTCTAAGCAAGCTTGTATTATTTTTATAATTTTTAAAGCATAAGGAAACCTCTGGTGGACTGGGGTGGTGAGACTGGAGAGTCGGGGCCTGTATCACACCCTGGGAGGCTGCCGCAAGGTCTCAGGTGGGGAGGGCCGTTCAGGTGTGATACTGGCAAGGCCATCAAATGCTCTTCAGCTTGGCCTCTGGATATTGTCCCAAAAGAAGCGAGAGGGGGAAGAATATAGAAAGATCGAAAGAGCAAAGTGTCTTATTGTTGAGTGTCACTACAGCGATGAGATTTCTCTTCTAAACCCCATCCCCCGCTCAGGAAAAGCCCAGCGGGATTACTAGGCGAGTCGGCAAGGCTCCCAAGAGAAGACGCAATTCCCAATAAATCCACAAGGTGGCAGAGCAGAGAGTGGAACCAGGGACAACTAAGATCAGGGAAAGAGCTCAAGGCCACCAAGGTTAATTATTCAACAAGTTGCCAGCGGCTCCAGAGAATCACTGGAGGTGGAGAGAGAGGGTGCTGCTGCACCTAAAACTATTTCCCTATTTTTATTTTAATTAATGTACTACTTGAAGGCATTCATCAGATGTTGTGGCCTAGGAAAGCGGTACCATAAATCCTCACAACATCATTGCTGATAAATTCTTGGAAACTGCGACTTTAAGCCAAATGGTCCAGAATAAACCAATTTTACCATAAGCTAATTGATATGCACAAGAGGTGAGTTCCTATGGCATACTTCTGGTCACAAAACATCACCAAACTTCTAAATAAGGACCAAAAACATTTCTAATATCAAACATTGAAGGCTATACATGTATTTAAGAAAGATTAATAAAAACGAGTAAGATAGTTATTAATATTTACCCACTTATCAAACTCCACACAGTCAGGCCCGGGGCTGGAATTAATTTTTTTTCTCATCAACATTGTAATGAAACAACGTTGAAGGAAACAATGTTATTTGAGGACCTGCTGTGTTACCTACTTGACAACATTTAAAAGCCTGTAAAGGAAGAATGCTACCACCCATATTCACAACATGCAAACACAACTTTTTGTTTGGGTGAGTTTCCTTTTTTTTTTTTTTTTTTGCAAGGAACTGTCCCATTACATGGATATTTAAGGGTCACTGACAAATGACAAACCCAACATTCTAGAGTTCTACATGTCATCACACTGAACTAAAGAAACTGTAGAGACAAGAGAACTTTGTTTTGTTTTTGTTTTTTGAGAGAGGATCTCACTCTGTCGCCCAGGCTAGAGGGCAATGGCACAAGCATAGCTCACTGCAGCCTCACCCTTCTGGTTTCCAAAGATCTTCCTGCCTCAGTTTCTCAAATAGCTGGAACTACAGGTGTGCACTACCACGCCCAGCTAATTATTTTGATTGATTGATTGATTGATTGATTGATTTTTGTAGAAACAGGGTCTTCCTATTGTTGCCCAGGCTGGTCTTGAACTCCTGGGCTCAAGTAATCTTACCACCTTGGCCTCCCAAAGGAACATTTTTTAAGTATAGAAAAATGCCAAATCTGTCCCCATCAAGAGAGTTACAATGTGTCCACATCCTTTAGGCCCAGGGTCAATTAAATAAATTCTAACAGTCCTTTCCATAGTTGCTTTCATCTTTTTTACTGTCTACCTCACATATACATTGTAAAGAATTGTATGTACATTGTAAAAATATGGAATTTATAGTCTAGTTGGTAAACTAGACTACGGTATTTTTAAAGTAGTGATAGTAACTTTAAAGTAATGATAGTAACTCCATAAGCTGTGTGTGGTGTTTATAGGTCTAGATCCTGCCATCTCTATTGTCACCACCCACATCTAGGCCACTGTTATCTCTCACCTAGCACCAGGCTCCCAACTGGCATCTCAGCTTCCCTCCCTGTTCCTTCAATTCATTCTCTATGCAGATGATCTTCATGAAATAGACATAGAAAATATGTTAGACCTCGTCACTTTGCTTCCCTGTAAACATTTATTTATAGGCACACTGTGCAGGCATATGTTAGGTTTGGGCAGCTATGGAAGGTTGAATTATTAGCATCCATTCTTCACCAGCACCCCAAATTTATGCTGTCTGACACATGACTTTGCAGCCCGTGCCTTGACTTTGGACTCAACCAAATGACGTTTTGGGCAGTGGGATGGTGGCAGACATGACACTAACAAGGGTGTGAAATGGTTTGTGCAGTTAAGTGTGCCCTCTGGCATGTCTGCCATTGCTACAAAAAGACCTTCCTGGTTGGCTACCGCCCCTTCAAGCTGAGTCTCAGAATTAGCTTACATGCAAAGTAACTAAGAAAGGAGCCAAGTTTATGAAGATCTGTAGCTTAAAAGATACCCATTCAACCCAGCCCAGCCTAGTTCAGCTGACTTCCAGCTACCACAGCCTGAAGCAGAGCCACATCACCCGCAGATCCCCGAGAATAAATGACGGTTATTTTAAGCCACTGAGAATAGGAGTGGTTTGTTACATAGCATTACTCTGACAATAGCTAACTGATACAGGGGATTCTAGTGGGAAGGTTGGTGTGTCCAAATCTGAGTGCTATTGCATCTAAGTTAATAATAGGGTCCTGCCAGAACATTCATTCAAAAGTGACTGAGAGTCTATTGTGTAGGCAGTGTGGTATAATGGTTATGACTGTGGGCAGCAGAGTCATCAACAGACCTGGCCTTGAATGCTGATTCTCAAACTTATTACCTGTGTTACCTTGGAGTTGGGTGACATTGGAGAAATTTCTTAACTTTCCAAATCACTATTTTCTCACTTATATTAAAAAAAGAATTATAATAAAATTCACCTCATAAAGTTAATATTTAAAAGAGGTATGTGTAAAGTTCATGACACATAGTAAAAGTCTACTACTTGGAAATCATTGTTTTTCTTTCTCATCCTTCTCTATGCCAAATCTCTGCATATGCACCCTATTTTGTAAAAATGTTTTGAATGACTAAAGATAGATTGATTACACATATTAAGATACACAACTTTATATATTGTTGAAATAAAAATATATATTTATTAGAAAAGAAAATATGGTTCATTTCTAATGTGAGTTGACTTGCCCCCTGTGCCAACACCGCAGGCCCTGGCTTCCCTTTACATATCCTCGGCACTTGTACAGGCATACACCCCTTCCTGTTTGCAGCAGCAATACAATGGTAAGATGTTTTGGTCTTGGACAGGGCCCTTCCGGCCTGCTGCATGCCTCCACAAGTGGACTATAATTTCTACTCTGGGTCCAGGATGTTGGCCTCAACTATGTCTGCCCAGCAGGTGAGGACAGCCAAGGTCAGCATCATGTTCCCGATGGCCAGTGTCAGGCCTCTCTCCAACCTAAACAGGGACAAAGGAGCATTGGCACAGGCAGAAGAACGTAAGATGGGTACGAAAAAACATACTAGGCGAGTGAACCATGCACAAAATAATTTATAAAACCACTTCTAAGGCTACTGTCATAAGACATTTCATTCAGGGAAAGTGCTAGGCCTCTAATTGGAAGAGAAAAGTTCTAGTTCTGGGGAAAAATACTGAATTGTGTCATTTTTCTTGGTGGGATCTCCGTTAGGATGATTAAGCTTCAGAGAGGTTAGGAGACTCTAGCAGTGCTTCTCAGACCATTAGGTGCATTAGAATCACCTGAGGTTCAAGAGACATCTAGAAAGCCTCTGACATGAAAGGTAAAGACAAAAAAAGATAAAAGAAAGACCAACTTGGGGCAATCAGACACCATGCAATTGGAGAAAATGAATAAATAACATAATATTCTCTAAGAGACCAAAGTTTTGCTTTTGTGGAACGTGAATAAGATGCTGTAAAAAAGGAATGTTCAGAAAACAAATTAACCAAAATACTTCTTAGAAATGAAAAACCATAATAGCAGAAATTTAAAACTCAGTAGAGTCAAGAAAAAAGCTAAGGAAATATTTTAGAAAAATAGAGCAAAAAGGAGGAAAGTTTTAAAAACACAAGAGAGAAAAACATATTTTTAAAAGACAGGACATTTACCCAAATGAGATGAAAACTCATGTCCACACAAAAACCTGCACACAGATGTTTGTAACAGTTTTATTCATAGTTGGCAAAACTTGGAAGCAACCAAGATGTTCTTCTGGAGGTGAATGGATAAATAAACTGTGGCACATCCAGACAATGGAATATTATTCAGCACTTTAAAAAAAAAAAAAAATGAGCTATCAGGCCATGAAAAGACATGGAGGAAACTTAAATGCATATTACTGTTGAGCCTGATATGGAAGCTTATTTGTACTTTATCTTAATGACTGCTATGATCTGAGTGTCCCTGCCAAAACTCATGTCGAAATTTTATTGCCACTGATGGTATTGGGAGCTGGGGCCTTTAAGAGGTGACTAGGTCATGGGAGCACTAACCTTCTGAATGGATAAGGCTGTTATTTGCGGAGTGAGTTTGTTCTCTTGAGAGTGAATTAGTTCTTACAGGAGTGAGTTAGTTCTCCTGAAAGCGGGTTGTTATAAAATTGAGCTTGGCTCACTCTTGTGGTCTCTCTTGCACACACTGCCTTGCCCTTCGGCTTTTTGTTCATGTTATGACACAGAGCAAAAGCCCTCACCAGAGGCTACCACGCCCTTAGACTTCCCAGCCTCCACAGCTATAAGCCAGAGGAACCACTTTTCTTTCTAAATTTCCAAATCTCAGGTATTCTGCTATAGCAACAGAAAATGGATTAAGACAAGAATCAGGAGCTGATGGGCTCCCTGTTCTCCCATGTCCCCATTCCCATGCCCCATTGCATGGATTAGCTGAAGATACTCATGTCTCCCTGAGAGGCATTCTTTGTTAATCTTCTTCTGAGAACTCGAGGGAAGTCCTAGTGAGCTGAGCTGCAAAGATAAAAACTAGCCTCCTTCCTTTTCAGCCATATTTTTGCCAGCTGTTCAAACCACAGCCCTGCTCAGATGCCCTCACTGTGATTAACAATCTTTCCAAGACTTTGCCCACTGACTTCCCCAGGTGGAATCTTTTCAAGGAAGCTGAATCCATACTCTGTCCCAAAGACACCGCTCAGCTTACCTCCTGCTGGGAACCTTCACATATCAATGATTTACTGCTATTTCCCAAAAGTGCCAGGTTTGGGCTTTTCAGTCTTTCAAACAAAACTGTATCATTCAGGGATACCCTTAGGGATCTATAAAGAAAAGCAAAGAAATGAAGGCCACAAAAGTTACAAGAGTAGTTCCCTCTGATGGGGGAGAAGGTGTATCAAACAAGTGAGCACACAAGAGCTCTCGAATCTTCAATATGTTAACCTGGGTAGTGGATTTTACTATTACTTTTGAAACTGTGTATATGTGTTTTATAAACTCTTCTGCATGTGTGGCACATTTCAAAATACAAACAAAAAACGTTTGAATAAAGAATTACCTAGGGAACTTGTTAAGAAGGTAGATTCCTAGCTCCACTTCATATTCTGACTTCAGAGACCTAGTCAGCACCACAGAATCCATATTCTTAAATGATGCGACACAGGTGATTCAAAATCCACACTCTGAGGTACCCTAAATAGTTGAAGAGCATCACAAACTTTGGCATCAGATAAACCTATGTTCAAAGCCGCAACTCAGTTGACTCCTGACTGTATGATATCAAGCAGGTTTTCTTCATCTGTAAAATAAGGATGATAAACTTAGCACAGTGCCTCAGACCTACTAACTTATCAACACAGGTTGGCCACAAATATTATTATTATTGCTTTTAGTGAATTAAGAGTGTATCTCCTCAGGTGTGGTAATTTCCATTAATCTGTCCCTACACAGGTAAATTTTCCAGATAAAAGCTTACTTAGCAAAGAGAGACTATTATTCTTAAAAGCTTTCCCATAAGCCTTGAACTTTTCAAATTCTTTAACTAAATGTGAGAATCTAAGGAAATAACCCTAAACAGAGGAATTATTTATAATAGCAAAATATTAGAAATAGCTACAACAAAAGTAAGGCTATACACACTGTAAGCTGTATTCATAGAATGGAGTATAATGTAGCCATTAAATAAGACTTTTTAATAACATATAAAAGTTACTTTGTAATGCTAAATAGGAGCCACACAGAAACTATATCTACTACATCATCAAAAGTACGCATACAAAAAAGTAAATCAGTTTCCACAGAAAATAATGGAATAGACCAAAATGTTCAAACATAGGGTGACTTTGGAGTGAGAGATGGTGATTCTTTTCTTCCTTTTTACTTTCCTTTTTACTTTTTCAAATACTCTACAATGGGGATGGGGGAAAAACCTGTGTGTGTGTGTGTGTGTGTGTGTGTGTGTGTGTGTGTGTGTGTGTGTGTGTGTGTGTGTATGACGGAGTCTCACGTAGAACAATCTCGGCTCACTGCAACCTCCACCTCCTGGACTTATGCGATTCTCCTGCCTCAGGTTCCTGAGTAGCTAGGATTACAGGCACGCACCACCATGCCCACCTAATTTTTTATTTTTAGTGGAGATGGGGTTTCACCCTGTTGGCCAGGCTGGTCTCGAACTCCTGGCCTCAAGGGATCCACCTGCCTCAGTCTCCCAAAGTACTGGGATTACAGGTGTGAGCCACCGTGCCCAGTCTGTCACTTTTTAAAAGTATATTATTTTGTTATATCTTCAAATCTAAACTAATTTAAGGGTTCTGCATCAGCTAGGATTCATAGAAGACAACGACACTTTCACAAGCTGTGCAGGCTACCAAAGAAGAAGTTGTATTTTAGAGATCTCATCTAACCTGAGTCCAAGGAAGTGAAGTGACAAGCATAAGGGGACACAGATGTCTGAGGTCCCCGTTCTGTTCCCAGGCCTCACAATGCCACCTAACACTCCTCCCACTTCATTACACTGCCCCTCCATTTTCACAATACAGACTCTTAAATACCTCAGCCTCCAAATTCAAAAGTGTGGTCCTGGAACTAGCAGCAACATCTTGGAGCTTCTTAGAAATGCAGGTTATCAGGCCTCTTCCCTGAGAAAGGAAATCAGAATCTGCATTTTAACATGATTTCCAGGGCAAGGTTCTCAGAGAAGTAGCAGAATAAGACAAAGTCTCTCTTTAATGGTTTCAGTTGAAGCTGACTTGGTTGACCAAGTTAAAACACAGCGATCTCAGTCCCATCATTGGCTGTGCGGGACTGCAGTGTCATGGAGGGGCTGCAATCCTCTGTGGAGCTGTACTCTGGACTGAACCCTGGGAAGCTGGATGAGGAGACAGATGGTGGGGCTGCCACCCCATGACCCAAGTCCTCAAGTCACTTTCTACAGCCTCCATGGGAAGACACTGCTGTATCCACACCTCACAGGCTGTGATGGGTCTTAGTTTTATTTAGACTTAGTCAATGTGCTAGGAATGGACTCCGTGTAACGTGGGCATGGAGTATATGACACACCTCAGACTGGTTTTCAAACCACCTGCATTAGCATCATTTAAAAATGTAGATGCTGGGCCGGGCGCGGTGGCTCATGCCTGTAATCCCAGCACTTTGGGAGGCCAAGGCAGGAAGATTGCAAGGTCAGGAGTTCTAGATCACCCCGGCCAATATGGTGAAACCCCATCTCTACTAAAAATACAAAAATTAGCTGGGTGTACCTGCACTCCAGCCTGGGAACGGAGCAAGACTCCGTCTCAAAAAATAAATAAGAAAAGCCAGGCACGACGGCTAACGCATGTAATCCCTGCACTTTGGGAGGCCAAGGTGGGCGGATCACCTGAGGTCAGGAGTTCTAGACCAGCCTGACCACTATGGAGAAACCCCATCTCTGCTAAAAATACAAAATTAGCTGGACATGGTAGCGCATGCATGTAATCCCATCTACTCGGGAGGCTGAGGTAGGAGAATCACTTGAACCCGGGAGGTGGAGGTTGTGGTGAGCCGAGATCACACCACTGCACTCCAGCCTGGGCCACAAGAGCAAAACTCTGTCTCAAAAAAAAAAAAAAAAAAAAAAAATGTGGATTCTGTGGTACTGACCAGGTCTCTGGAATCAGAATATGAAATGGAGCTAGGAATCTGCCTTCTTAACAAGATCCCTAGGTAATTCTTTATTCAAACTTTTTAATGTTTATATTTTGAAATCTGTCACACATACAGAAGAGTTTGTAAAACATATACACACAGTTTTTAAAATAACAATAAAACAAACACCTGTGTACCCACCACCCATGTTAACATATTGAAGATTGGGAGCTCTGGTGTGCCCAGTTGTTTGGTACACCTTCTCCCCCATCAGAGGGAACTACTATCCTAACTTTCGTGGCTTTCATTTCCTTAGTCAACCTGTTAGGAATCGACTCCATGTAACATATGAAAAGCAGTATGAAAAGCAGCTTGCAGAAACACTGGATTCACACATTGAGGAGAAACGCCAACTCACGGGCAAGCACGGTGATGCAAAAAAAAAAAAAGAAAGAAAACAAAAAACACTGCAGAGATTGAGGGATATTTAGAGGATGTCGGGTACAAAAAAGTATTTAAACATCCCCAGTTTTGTAGATGCTTACAAGGTGAACAGCACCAACGCAATGCTGATACAGAAATGCACATCCTAGCAGGGCAGAGCTGCTCATGCCTGTGATCTCAACAGTTTGGGAGGCCGAGGTGGACAGATCACCTGAGTCAGGAGTTCGAGACCAGACTGGCCAGCATGGTGAAACCCATCTCTACTAAAAATACAAAAATTAGCCAGGCACGGTGGCAGGTGCCTGTAATCCCAGCTACTCAGCAGGCTGAAGCAGGAGAATTGCTTGAACCTGGGAGGTGGTGGTTGCAGTGAGCTGAGATCGCACCATTACACTCCAGCCTGGGCGACAAGAGCAAGACTCCATCTCAAAAAATAAAATAAAATAAAATACATAAAAAATTTTAAAAATCACATCCCTGGTTCAAGAACTGAAAGAAGAGAGGTTTAAAGAAGAAGAGGAGAAAAAAGAAGAGCGATCCAGACTCTCCAAGCAACAAGAAGGGCTGTTATCAATGCTGGAGTCCCTGGAAGAGGCCATGGGAGTCACCCCGTCACTAGGAGCTTTTCCACACCAGCCAGGCAGCCAAGAGCCAAGCCCTGCTGCTCCCTTCCCCAGGAGGGCCTGGGTCTTAGGGCAGCACTGTTCTCTCCCTTCCACTCAGGCCTCCAGAGCTGCCAGGCTAGGTTCTCCCACATTAACTCCATCCAAGGGTCCCTGAGGCCAGTGGATCCAGGGGAGTCCCTTCCTGCATTGAAGTTTCCACCTTCCCCTCCTAACGCCGCAGCCAGCTCCTTCATGGTCAATTCCTCCAAATCTAAACAATACAGAAGATCCTGGAGCACATCAGCAAAGTCTGGATTCTCTCTCATTAGCAGCAAAAGAAATGCCATAATGAGAGCCTCATCTTTTGCTCAAACTGAAACATCATCAAACTGCATTTCTCAAGACAATGCTCTGTAAATATTATTTATGTATTAATCTCCTACGAGAACAATTTCTATTTTATCCTCTACAAAATTATTGTATTATACTTTGAAAATAGATTTCATTTATCAATAAAGACTTTCAGTACTCAACTGCAATATTTTTTCTAGAGTTATAGTCCCAACAGTTTTAACTCATAAGTTAAAGCATCATTTTTTGGCGTATGTATTTGTTGAAATATTTGGCCGGGCATGGTGGCTCACACCTGCAATCCCAGCACCTTGGGAAGCCAAGGCGGGCAGATCATAATGTCAGGAGATCAGGACCATCCTGGCTAACACAGCGAAACCCCGTCTCTACTAAAAATACAAAAAAAAATTAGCCGGGCGTGGGTGGTGGGCGCCTGTAGTTCCAGCTACTCAGGAGGCTGAGGCAGGAGAATGGCATGAACCTGGGAGGTGGAGCTTGCACTGAGCCGAGATAGCACCACTGCACTCCAGCCTGGGCAACACAGTGAGACTCTGTCTCGAAAAATAAAAAAAGAAAGATTTTAAGCAAAGGGAAATTTATTTTGGGATAAAGTAAAAGGGAATGTTTAAAGAGAAATTTCTATAATATTTAGATTCAAATAGCAGGTATTTTTCAAAAAACAAAATTGATAAATTGCATGGAAATGGTTTTATTTCACTACAAGACTGATGTAGGGAGAAATTTCTAAGAAATCCCCTGGGACAACATTGGGGAACCCCACATCACTTTTCCCCATCTCCTCTCAAAATCACCAAAAACATTTCTCACTGGAAAACTGAGGAGGCTGTAAGGGACTTCTCTCTCACAAAATTAAACCAAGGTTCCCACAGTTAGTATACTTAGACACCAGTGACGTCCCCTCATTAGGCAGTGAGCACAGATGGGTGTTATCCTGGTGGAAGGGAAGCAGCAAGAGACATTTTGAATAACTGTGGTGGAGGAGAAGTCACATAGATCAATGACAGGGACAGCAGCAGCAGACGTGCTTTGGTTTGGCCAGGTGCAGTGGCTCACACCTCTAATCCCAGCACTTTGGGAAGCTGAAGTAGGTGGATCACCTGAGGTCAGCAGTTCAAGAGCAGCATGGCAAACATGGTGAAACCCTGTCTCTACTAAAAATACAAAAATTAGCTGGGTATGGTGGCAGGCACCTGTAATCCCAGCTACTTGAGAGGCTGAGGCAAGAGAATCGCTTCAACCTGGGCAGCAGAGGTTTCAGTGAGCCTAGATCGTGCCACTGCACTCCAGCCTGGTAGACAAAGCGAGACTCCATCTCAAAAAACAAACAAACAAAAAAACAAGTGCTTTGGTTGGAGATAGCAATGAAGATTAGAAAGTCCCTGTCTTCATGTTGCTCTCGTTTAAGGAAGGCAGATATAATTAAACAATATAATTAAACACACAACACAGCATGTAAGGAAGTGCCAGTTTTATGGAGAAAAATCAAGAGGGCAGGGAGGGGAGTGACACATGGGAGAGTGGGGCAATCTTGGCAGGGGTGGTCAGCAAGGCCTCTGTCGGGAGGCAGCACCTGAAGAATGAAGACATGGAGAACTCTGTAGGAAAAGGGGGTGGAACTGACAATAGCCCTGAAGGGGGCACGAGTCTGGTGGGCGTGAGGACCATGCAGAGGCCAGAGTGGCCTGAACTCAGTGAACGATGGCCAGAGTGGGAAGTGAGTGAAGGGTACCAGGGGTCTGAGGATGGAGGGGTTCTCCCCACAGTAAGAGTTTCATTTCAATGTAAGAGTTCAGAGGCAGCCTGCAGGGATCATGGTAAAGCAGGGATACAAGCTGGGAGGCTGTGACAGTGATTCGAGGGTGAGAATGGCGACAGTTGGACCAGGGGAGTAGTGGAGGTGGGGATGGAGAGATGCGCTCAAGTCCAGGATCTGTGCTGCAGCCAGAGACCGAGAGACTCACTGAGGCCTGTGAGTACCAGAGAAAAGGGGAGTCAGGATGAGGACAAGGAGTCCACTGTATCTCCCTGAGGGGTGGTGTTCTTTGCTGGAACAAAGAGGGATGCAAAGGAGGGGCATCTGGATGATCAATTGGAATAAATGTTTGGGAGGAGACTTGGGACCAGGACCTTCTTACACTAGAGTAGAAATACCAAGTGCTCAGATGGACATAGTTGGAGAACTTGGAGGAGCAATCACAGCATCAGCAAGGAACATGGAGGATCATTGGGGGTGAAGTTACTATTATACGGAAGTCCAAGGACTGAGCAGATTCCAAGGGGTGAATGAAATGAGTCTGCTAGTGGCCAGAACCCTCCTCAGGTCTCCCAGTAGCCACAATACCACAAAAAGCCTCAAGAGTGACCTCCCCAAGTCTGTTCCCATTAGGGGACTTGAGTTGTGCAGAATCCTCGTAAGACAGCCTCCACTATACACGTGTCTATGCATGTCCACATGCCGTGTATATACATACAGACTGATGAAGATCCCCTCCTTGACCAAGCTCTAGCCAGGCCTCCCTGAGCCCCCTTTTCAACTAGGCCTCCACCTCGGCCTATGAAATCTACAGACTTCAGCAAAAAAGGGTATGGTTCATCCTTCGCCCATATTAAAAGGCTTAAACACATAGTTTGTTTCTTTTTCTTTTTTTTTTTTTTGAGATGGGAGTTTCGCTCTGTCGCCCAGGCTGGAGTACAATGGTGTGATCTCGCCTCACTGCAACCTCCGCCTCCTGGGTTAAGCAATTCTCTGCCTCAGCCTCCCGAGTAGATGGAATTACAGGCGCCCATCACCACGCCCAGCTAATTTTTTCTATTTTTGGTAGAGACGGGGTTTCACCATCTTAGCCAGGCTGATCTTGAATTCCTGACCTCGTGATCCACCTGCTTTGGCCTCCCAAAGTGTTGGGATTACAAGCGTGAGCCACCGCACGCAGCCTAAACACACAATTTTTAACTACTCAAAGCTGCATCCATAGGATGACCCCAGACCCCCTAAAGTGTCCGCCTTGGAAAGCTGCCAAAAGAACTCACTGTTCGCTATTGGCAACACCTTACAAGCAGCCCCTGATGTCCCTTTCTTAAAGAGTTAACAACAACAACAAAAAACTAAATAATTGTGAATCCTTCCTCTCTCTGGGATGTAATGTCTCCTACACATCAGGAGTGTCCTTCTCAAGAACCTGAAAGCCATTCCTCCAACATGCAATCACCAGGAAGCAAAGGGCCTATCTCCCAGTTCCCGTGGGAGGATAGGACCCTGACTCCCGTAACAGTCATCTAATAGGCACTGACGCCTAACCGTATCTACATTGACCCACCCTTCACAAGTTTCACTTTCCTGACTACTGAGTTCCTGCTCATCCCCTTCATACTCCCTTCTCTCCTCCTCTGAAACACCGTCACTTCTGCACAAAGTTCAGTCCTGTTCACGAGGTACCTTCTTCCCTATTACAAAAGTACATTGTAAATCTGGCCTTACCACTTTTACTAGTGTCTACCTTTATCTTCTACAGTTAATACACATATACGCACACACATATGCATATATATACACACATATACATACACACATACACGTATATATATATACATCTATATGTGCATTCTTAATGAATGTTATGTCTTCTCTAATCCTTTGGAAGATATTATCAGGTATTCATTCGCAGTTTTCCTATGATCTCTGCTTCTTTTCTGTTCCTTTGGTCCCTTGCTTCTGTGTGTGTTTTCTTTCCATCTTTTATGCTAGAGGAAGTCCTCAAGCATCAAGTCCTCGGCTCCCATTCCTACGTGTGTTGTAGGAAGGAAGCCGCTAAGTGGAGCTGTGCGCGCTGGGGCGGCGCCTGTGCCTCTGCTGACTCCGTGTTTCTTCGGGAGTGCTGAGCGGCGGCGCTTTCGCGTCCGCGTTCTCCGGGTCCCTGATGTGTTGCAGGCTGCAGCCCGCGTGGTCGCGGCTCAGGTCCGTGTGGGGCCGGTAGCACTCCAGCCGGGAGCGGGCATTCCTCCGGAACCTGCGGCTAGACTACAGCAGCACGAGGCGTGCTCCCATCTCCGGTGGTCTCCGGCTCCCGCTGCTCCCCTTTCTCCACGGCCTCGGACGCTGGCGGGCGCGGGCGGCGGGGTGGTGGATGGGAGGCCCGCCCGCCACCGGAGGGAGCGGAAACCGCGGCTGGGCTCCGGGTCAGCGGCGACGAGCGGGCGGCTACCCCGCTCGCCCTAGGCCTCCACGCCCGCCCGCCCGTCCTCAGCGGAGGAGCGCTCGGGTCTGCGCGAGTGCGGCCGCCGCACCTACCTCAGCCGGCCGCGGCGAGAGCGGACGGCGGCGCCGCGCAGGCCTCCTTCCGCCTCCTTCCGCCTCTTTCCGCCTCATTCCGCCTCATTCCGCCTCATTCCGCTTCAGACCGCCTCGCTTCCCAGTCGGCGTACGCTTCCGCGGCGGCGGCAGTATAAGCTAGAGGTTCGGCTCAGGCCAGCGGCACTCGTGTCGGCGCCGAGCGCGGCCCTCCCCCGCCGCGGCGCTCCGGCATTTTCTATGATTATGAATTTTTGGCGTTCAACCCTCCATCATCTCAAACGCCCCAGTTACTCCGCCCCCTTCCCCTAGGCCCTGCCCCCAGCCGCAGTGCCCTGCCCCTTCCATCCATCTCCAGCCTCCTCCACGGCCCCGCCCCCTCAGGCAGGTCCGTCTCCCCTCCCACCTCACACCTCCGCCCCGCCCGTCAGCCTTGGCTCCGCCCAACCAGGGGCTCGCAGCCGCAGGCCCCGCCTCCAGCTCGCGGCCCCGCGCGCCGGGTCGGCGTGCGTGCGGCTGGAGCCTCAAGCGTTTCTCCCCCGCCCCGGCTTCATCGCCGCCCGCGGCCCAGCTTCGCACTCCTCCTGCGCGAGGGCGGCCAAGGCCTGGCCAGGAGCCGCGCCTCCGCTCGCGCGAGGTAGGGATCGAGAACCGGCGCGGCGCAGGTCTCCGGAAGCCTCCCGAGACGGGCGAGGGCGCCGGGCCGCGCGTGGGGGCGGGTGGGGCCCGGGATGAGACTGCGCCCCGGAGGGGAGTGCGAGGCCTGGGTCGACGGTTACGGGCGCCGACCGGCGTCGCGTGGCCTGAACGCCTGGCCTTTCGGTGGAGGGCAGCTTGCCCCTGTGTGTTGCGCCCTTCCGTGGGTCAGACCGGCGGGGAGGTGAGGCGGCGGCGGCGGCAGCAGCAGCAGCAGCAACAGCAGCCTTCGGCTCCTGGACGCGCTCCCGACGTGGGGCGGGTTGGGCAGTGGGGACTAGAGCGTGACGGCTGGACGTCGCCTTCTCGGCGCGGCAGGTCCCAGGCGACCGGGGTACGAGGCGCAGTGCCGCCCTTGGGAGAGCGGAGCCACCTGGACTGAGGGCGCCTGGGTTGGCCCCAGAAAGGCAGGAGGGGAGCAGGGAAGGGATGGCGAGCCCGGGGTGCACCGCCTGTTTCTTTCCTTGTTAGGTGTCGTCCTTGGAGAAGATGGAAGCGGAGAGGCGGCCGGCGCCGGGCTCGCCCTCCGAGGGCCTGTTTGCGGACGGGCACCTGATCTTGTGGACGCTGTGCTCGGTCTTGCTGCCGGTGTTCATCACCTTCTGGTGTAGCCTCCAGCGGTCGCGCCGGCTGCTGCACCGCAGAGACATCTTCCGCAAGAGCAAGCACGGGTGGCGCGACACGGACCTGTTCAGCCAGCCCACCTACTGCTGCGTGTGCGCGCAGCACATTCTGCAGGGCGCTTTCTGCGACTGCTGCGGGCTCCGGGTGGACGAGGGCTGCCTCAAGAAGGCCGACAGGCGCTTCCAGTGCAAGGAGATTATGCTCAAGAATGACACCAAGGTCCTGGACGCCATGCCCCACCACTGGATCAGGGGCAACGTGCCCCTGTGCAGTTACTGTATGGTTTGCAAGCAGCAGTGTGGCTGTCAACCCAAGCTTTGCGATTACAGGTATGGTCTTCGTGGACACTCACTGTCCCAGAATGCGCCCTGGGAGTCAGGATTTCATAGAGTGGTGTAGAGGCCTGCTTTAATCTCTGCTGATGACCTAAACTCGTTTTAAGGAAGCAAGCTAATAAACATCCCTGAGTTTGTGCAAGCGTGACAGCTTTGCAGTAGTCATTTGCTGAGATGATGCGTCCAGCCTCCACTCCTCAGCCAGCCTGCCCTTTTGGGTAATAAAACTTGGCTCCTAACGTTAATACAGAGGTTTCTAAGTGGTGCTTGCTTCATGGCCACTGTAGATTTTAGCGTTTGTTCCTATCGATTATTTCCCTATTTTAAATAAGGAAAAATGAAATATGGACAAATTAACTTTTCCCTTCAGCCGCAAAACTGGTGGGTCACAGGTTTTGTACTGTGAACATGCAGTGAAAACAAGTGTCATTCCAAGGCAGCACTTTTATATCTTTTGCTAATATAGTTGTTGGTATCTTAGCGAAATATACTCAAAAAGAACACTGAAAGGAATATTCCTTTTGACGCTTGGTCTTTCAGGACATGTTGAATCTTAGATAAGTGACCTTGATTAAGCCAAGAATATTTTAATGTATTTTATATACACACTAGACAACACATTTTTGTCCTTAAATATTGTCTGAAAATAGGTGAAGATGTCCTTTGCTGATGCTGGAAATTAGTAAATGAGAATGCTGCTTTGCAAATGATCTCTTCTAACTCAGTTCACAGTTGAGAAAATTAAAGCCCGTTAGGTCCACTCTGGTAAAATAGGACTGGCCTCCAGGATTTCCAGCTCCGGACTAGCACCTAGCCTCCTTTGAGCCTTAAGTCTGGCATCATCATTGTAATGAGTTTTATTTCTGACAAGTAGAAAGGCCCATAAACATGCTTAAGAAATGAAATAGGCAGTAAATAGGAAGCTACTTTTTAATTTTTTAAATTTTTTTTTGCGGAAATTATTTGATTAGCATGAACGCTTTTATAATGTCAGTACCTGTTTTTAAGTCTTATTTTAAATAATTTTACAGATTATCAAAGAGGCTTAAGAATAAATTTTCAAAATAATATATTCTAGCCAACTACAAAGTTTTGTAACCATGCATTTTTATTTGGTGTTTTTAAAAATTAAATGCTGTCCTTCTGGCATAAGTGAGAGCCAAGTTAGCAGGGACGTTAAATAAATTTCATAATGAATTGAGTATTGTTCTATTTCCTTCACTTCTCTGGTATAGCCTCCAGCAGTCTGTGTCTGTGCAGAATTATATTAAAAATGGTTTCCATAAATAACGGTATTTCAAATACTCTTGAACACATAATCATAGTGCTTCTGATCCTCTACCCAAATGATCTTTCTAAAAATGCAAATCTGATCAAGTCCCTGCTCTGCCTAAAACCCTTTAAATTGCTCCCCATCGTGTAAGGTGATTGTTTTACAGTGTAAACCCCTAAGTGCTTATTCACAGGGTACATAAGGTCCTAGTACTCTCTGGGCTCTGTCTTTCCAGTTTTATCTAACACCACCTTCATTAAACTTTATGCACCAGCAACACCAAGCTTCTTGTAATTTCCTTAAATGTCAGGCATTTTCTGACATTTCTGCCCCTTTGCTCAAAGCTTTCCTCTCTTAATATTCTTCTGGCTAGCTTCTAGGCACCCTTAAAGACCCATCCCCTGTCCTTGTCCTTCAGGAACTCTTGCCTGATCTACTCACCTTCCCTCCTCCCCCAATTTTTCCTTTTTGGTGATAACATAATATCCTATATCTCAGTGGTTCTCAAAGTAAGGTCCCTAGACCAGCAGCATCAGCATCTCTTCAAAATCTGTTAGAAATGCAAATTCTAGGGTTGCTAGGTTTAGCAAATAAAAATAAAACATTTCAGTATTTGGAGCATAAAAAGTATTTGTTGTTTCCCTGAAATTCAAATTTAACTAGGCATTGTTTTTTTTTGTTTTTTTTGTTTTTTTTTTTTCCTGGTAATCCTAGCTCAACCCCAGAGCTACTAAATCAGAAACTTGGGCTGGACATCAGCAGTCTTGGTTTTAACAGGCCCTACGGGTCCTAAAGATGGAGAACCACTGCTATATTTACATATCTTTAAAAACATGCACCTCTGTGTCTTAATTTTGTGTCCTCCCGTTGAGCACACTGAGTCTTTGTGATAATAAATTTTCTTTTCCTCATTAGTGCATTTTTACAGAGTACCCCTTACCCCATAATAGAAATTGTCTCTGTGTAATTTAGGAGATATTTATTATTCCCAGGAGAAGAGACCACAGTGTCCTAAAGTTGTACATATTCTACAATGTTCTGAACTGATTTATGTTGGCCAGTAATTTTATATAGCATTACAGTCTCCTGTGACCTTCTGTAGGAATGAGATACTTTGGAACGAGAAACAAAATAAATAGCTACTTAGAACCTTTAAACACAGACCAGACAGTCCTTTGCTGAATTTTAAGCCCTGAGGAGGGCTCCTTCCCTGTCTGCATCTCATTCTTAGGGAAGTGAGTGAACTCTGCAGACAAGTTAGCATTTCAAAGGACACTAATGAGAGATGATGACTGAGTTTAAAGCCTGCAGAATAAGTGAGAAAGGCCCTTTAATTTATACTCATTCAGTCATTATACTTACTGAGCATCTATTTTTGTACTAGACACTATGCTAGAGTCTACTTTGTAGATTTTTTCTTTTTGTGTGTTCCTGTTTCTACCTCCAACCACTACAATGTATTTCTGCACCTGGTATCTTATTTCGCTATTCTTCTTTTTCTTTTTCTTGTCTCTCCTCTGACTAAAATAGGGAATTAGGTTATATTTCTACATATTCAATATATTTATTAAATGAACCTTTGTTTCTTGTAGTGTTCTATCTCATTAAGAGAAAAATTAATTGCTTTTTAATTTATAGGACTTTTTATTCATTACATCCACCCCACGCCCCACACACAATTACTGTGATTAGTAAAACAAAGCTGCCGACTCTCAGAAGGCAATTACATTGGCCTCAATGTAATTAGTCTCAGCTTTGATCATAAATTTTGTTTCTATATTCTATTGGCGTATGTTTATTCATTTCATTATTTATCTGAAACAGTGAAAGATACCAAATCATCTTCTAGAGCAGAGGTGGGCAAACTTACTGTAAAGAGCCAAAATAATTTTCAGCTTTCCAAACCATTTTGTCTGTCATAATTACTTAACTCTGCCATAGTTGCAGTGCAAAACCAGCCATGGACAATACATGAATGAATGAGCTTACCTGTGTTCCAGTAAAACTTCATTCACAAAATCAGATGGCAGACATATTTGCAGTTTGCAGAACCCTGTTCTAGTGAATCTCAAAAATGACCATCTCAACTTTATGTATAATTCAGCTGCCTCCTTCAGCACACTAAAGAAGAGAGGTATTTTGAACAGGTAATTTTTTTAGAGAAAATAAGCCTTGTGAAACCTTTTTTTCCCCCAATAAAGCAGTCATACTCTTGCACAAGAACGGCATATAAATTCATGAGCCATTCTGTATTTTCATATGAAGGAACTTTCTAGAGTAATGTTCTGTATCTTGATAAGCGTGTTAGTTACATATGTTCATTTATCAAAACTCAGGAGGTATATACGTACATTTCATTGTAAATTTTACATCAAAAGGAAAAAACAAATCATGAATTGTAAGTAGTGATAAGCCTATTTGCTGATGTATTTGGGAAGTATTCTGATGTCTTCAGGTTACTTGGAAATGTACTAAAAATAAGATGGATTAATGGATGGATAGAAATGTGACAAAGCAATTACAGAAAGATGTTAATGGTAGAATGTAGGTGGTAGGCATACCTGTAAAAAATATTTTTAAGTAAAATATTTTAAAAAGTAAACTATTCTTCTAGAATATATTTGCTGAAATATTGAAGGGTGAGATCTCATACTGTCTGCAGTTTACTTTCAAATGATTCAGCAAAATATGAGCTTATATGGAAAAAGAATATTGTGGAAGAAAATGTTCATTAAGAATCAGCGTGAAGGATGGGCTTAGGGTATTCATTTTGCTATCCTTTTGACTTCTCTGAAACTTTGAAATTTTTCAAAAGAAAAAGAAAAAAGATCATAAGCTGTTACCCAGTGACATGATGCTAAAGCTGAATTATCAACACATGTTAGTAATGTCTTATCTTCCCAGTGAGTTTGAAATCTAGGTTGTTAAATACTAATTACAACATATGTAAAGATAATAGGCTTCAGGTTTCAATATGGTATTTCTAAAGAAGAATGTAATACTGAGTAGTAAGTGTTTTATTTTATTTTGTTTTTTGAGACAGGGTCTTGTTGTATATTGCCCAGGCTGGAAGACAGTGGCATGATTATGGCTCACTGCAGCCTCAGCCTCCCAGGTTCAAGCAATCCTCCCACCTCAGCCTTCCAAGTACCTGGGACTACAGACATGCAACACCATGCCTGACAATTTTTTTTTCTTTTTTGTAAAGATGGGAGTATCACCCTGTTGCCCAGGCTGGTCTCAAATTCCTGGGCTCAAGCAATCCTCCCATCTTGGCCTCCCAAAGTGCTGGGATTACAGGCATAAGCCACCATGCCTGGCCCTGTTAAGCATTTTAGCTATACCTTTATGGAGCAAAGGCTTATGATAGCTATTATATTGGTTAAAATAATCTTTTCTGGGCTGGGCGAAGTGGCTCATGCCCGTAATCCCAGCACTTTGGGAGGCCAAGGCGGGCGGAGTTCAAGACCAGCCTGACCAATATGGAGAAACCCCATCTCTACTAAAAATACAAAATTAGCCAAGTGTGGTGGCACATGCCTGTAATCCCAGCTACTCAGGAGGCTGAGGCAGGAGAATCTCTTGAACCCAGGAGGCGGAGGTTGCCGTGAGCCGAGATCACAGCATTGCACTCCAGCCTGGGCAACAAGAATGAAACTCCGTCTCAAAAAATAATAATTATTATTATTTTCTGAAATTTATGAGAATTTAGTAAATGATAAATGTTCTGTCACAAATTATTGGGGATAGAAAAGATGGTTTTATGAATCGTGTTAGGACAAGTGCTCTTTGGGGGAGGGGAGAAGGTTAACCCTTCATAATATACCAGATTAATTACGGGTAGATTAATGCAGTGGTTTGGTTTTTGTTTTTGTTTTTGTTTTTTTGAGACAGTCTCACTCTATTGCTCAGGTTGGAGTGCAGTGACACGATCTCGGCTCACGGCTACCTCTACCTCCCTGGCTCAAGTGATTCACCTACCTCAGCCTCCCAAGTAGCTGGGATTACAGGTGTGCACCACCATGCCTGGCTAATTTTTTTAATATTTTCAGTAGAGACAGGGTTTCACCACGTTACTCAGGCTGCTCTGAAACTTCTGACCTTAAGTGATCCACCCGCCTTGGCCTCCCAAATCCTGGGATTACAGGCATGAGCCATTGTGTCCAGCCAATACAGGGGTTATTAACATGGTGGTTCATAAAGTTCTGGAAAAGCCTGACACTTTCATGAGATTCTGAATGGAATCTATAACCCCAGAAGGTTAAGAAGCACTGAATTAAAGGTGTAACTATGAAAACTGAAGTGTGGGGGTAAAAAATAACTATCGGTGAATATCTAGGAAATGGTAAAGGACTTTAAAGCATAACAGCATTTAACCAGGTGCCTGTAGCCTAGCTACTCAGGAGACTGAGGCAGGATCACTTGAGCCCAGGAGTTCAGGCCAGTGTGAGCAACATAGTGAGACAGTGTCTCTTGAAAAAAAATTTTTCACGGAACTCAGTGGCTCACACCTGTAATCCCAGCACTCTGGGAGGCCGAGGCAGACTGATGAGGTCAGGAGTTTTTGAGACCAGCCTGACTGATATGGTAAAACCCCATCTCTACTAAAAATACAAAAATTAGCCGGGCATGGTGGCACGCACCTGTAGTCCCAGCTGCTCGGGAGGCTGAGGCAGGAGAATCACTTGAACCCGGTAGGTGGAAGTTGCAGTGAGCCGAGATCGCACCACTGCACTCCAGGCCTGGGCGACAGAGCGAGACTCCATCTCAAAAAAAAAAAAAATTGTTTTTAAGTGAAACACCATTTAAGCCAACTACAAACGGAAATATATATGTGCATATATATATATATTTTTAAAACTTAAGTAGATTAAAAAGAAAATTTTTAAAAAAACTGAAGCATGTTTGCAATAAATATGCCAGAAAAGAGGTTGATATTCTAGATAAATAAAAGTACATGCAATTATTAAAACCTAGTGAAAAATGAATATAGAACATGAATGAATTCACAAAAGGGGACTGAAAAACTCAGTTTTACCTAGTAATCAAAGACTTCCAGATTAAAACAATAGGATACCTTTTTCTATCAAATTATCAAAGAAAAATTAAGTACTAATGAGCAGTATTAGTAAGTGTTACATGTGATGGGCACTTTCATGCAGTCGTAACAAGCATATTGGACGAACATCCAGAACCTTAGGAAAATGCATGCCCTTTGATTCAGTAACTTCCAAGATTGCAAGGAAATAATCTCATTCATTTACCCATGTTATTTATATTTTCAAAAATAAACTAAATATCTTTTTTTAAAAAACAGAAAGGGGGTCAGGGTTTTTTTGTTTTGTTTTGTTTTGTTTTTTGAGATGGAATCTCACTCTGATGCCCAGGCTGGAGTGCAGTAGCACAGTCTCAGCTCACTGCAACCTCCCTTTCCCAGGTTCAAGTGATCCTCCTACCTCAGCCTCCCTAGTAGCTGGGACTACAGGCACACGTTACCACGCCAAGCTAATTTTTGTTTATTTTTCTTGTTTTTTGAGACGGGGTCAAATAAATTATATTATATTCACATGATGTAATAATATACATTTTTTACAAACCATATTTTAAAAAAAAGAATGCTATACAAAAAAGTTTTATGATACAGTGTAGAAATGCATTATCCAGATATATATACATCATACTTCTAACCTGAAAAACAAACGTATACACTATAAAACTGAGAATACATAAGTCAAAAAGTTAAGAGTGACTCTCTCTGGATGATTTTTATATTATGCCTTTTTATATTTCTAAGTTTTTATAAGCTAATATTATTTTAAATAATTTTTAAAATTTATATAAGTAGTTCATGTATATATTCTGGTTTTTAGGATCTCAAGCAATACATACAAACAAAAATGTAGGCGAAAAAGTTAATATTTTTCCCATGCCTCAATCCTACTTTTCTTCCCAGAGGAAACCATTATGAAATAATTCAGTGGTTATCCTTTCTGATTGCTTTTGATGGTGATATACTATTTTTAAGTTATGGTAGACCAATAAATAGAGATATTATGCTTCAGCCACATAACCAGTCTACTATAGTTTCTCAAGTTGAGTTTAAAATTAACAAATGTGATAATGCAAATTATTTTCATTTTCTCTGTAACAGATTATACAGAGAACTCTTTCTTTTAGCAGTAAATAGGACTCCAGAAAACAGCGCTAAGTACTTGACAAATCTGAATATCCAAAAGGAAAAAACAGCTTAAAATAGAAGGTCAACAGTGGACCTCTGGGTGAAAGAATGTTTATCCTCTTTTTTTTTTTTTTTTTGTATTCATTTAATTATAACCATTATTTTCTGGTGGCCTTCTTTATCTCTTCAGTCAGATCTGCCTTACCTGTGAGTGGATTAAATACTTAGCAAATTAATAATAGAAACCCAGGACCTTTACCAGCTCTGTTCTCTGCTTGTTTTACCAATTGGGTCCAAACATAGTTGCAAATCTGGATGCACATGTTCTTATGTCTATTTCAAAAGCAAGCATATGAATTATTTTCATATTGACTGACAAAAAGAAACGCACTGTTGTACTTATATTTACAGGTTAAGAGATTTTCAAGTTGGTCCCTGAGGAACTCTTCAAGGGTCCGTGTCAGTGGGGCATTTAAACAGCAAGGGCTTCAGGCCTCATGAACCTGCATTTCAGCCAAAGCACAAAGATATATATAAAACTATCATTTTAGATCAGCTTTTGTTTATGTGGATCACATCCCTTGATATTTATCTTGTCATAAATTAAAACTGATAAATTTTTTAAATATTTTTAAAATAATAGTAACAAATTATTTTTATGAAAATTTAGTGAGGAGAGTTACATTGTTTTAAATTTTTGTACGTTTCTTTCACTTATAATTCAGCTAGATTATCATATTTGCTTCTGTTGTCATAGCACATGTCATAAAGCTTCTGGAAAACTCCACTGTACAGTTTTGAGAGGATGAAGGTGAAATAACTCTTTAGTGTTATTACTAAAACTTTAGCCTCACAGATGCCCTGAATGGATCTTGGGGCCCCCAAGCCGCATTTTAAGAAATGCTGTTAGGCCAGGCACAGTGGCTCACGCCAGCAATCCCAGCACTTTGGGAGGTCGAGGTGGGTGAATCATTTGAGGTCTGGAATTTGAGACCAGCCTGGTCAACATAGTGAAACCCCATCTCTACTAAGAATACAAAAATTACCCGGGTAGTAGTGGCACACATCTGTAATCCCAGCTACTTGGGAGACTGAGACAGAATTGCTTGAGCCTGGGAGACGGAGGTTGCGGTGAGCTGAGATCACACCACTGCACTCCAGGCTGGGCAACAGAGTGAGACCCTTTCAAAAAAAAAAAAAAAAAAATGCTATTAGGTTAAACTGCCAAATATGTTCAAACCTTATTGCTCCATTTCACTGTGCAGATAGATCTCTTTTATTTGCCAAATGTTATGGTAAGTAAGAGTGATAAAATTACTGTTTTATTTTTTAACAAAAATGATGGTTTTGTGGGTTATCATTGAGATTATGGTTTAAAATTAATTAACGCTTGTTTCTTCCTTCCCTCAGGTGCATTTGGTGCCAGAAAACAGTACATGATGAGTGCATGAAAAATAGTTTAAAGAATGAAAAGTGTGATTTTGGAGAATTCAAAAACCTAATCATTCCACCAAGTTATTTAACCTCCATTAATCAGATGCGTAAAGACAAAAAAACAGATTATGAAGTGGTAATTAGAGTTTATTTCTCTTATATGATTGATTTTTTAAAAGCTGCTTAAGTCATTGTTTGAGATGGTTAAGACAGTATGTAAGAAGAATTGGTACCAGGAATAAAATAAATTTAAATAACAGATCAAGACTAAGGAGGGAAATAAAATGCCATTATGGTAAGCCATAAAACCCTACCTAGTTCCTAGAGATGGGTCAAAAATTTTGGCTCTTGAGTTCTTTCATGTCTAAAAGGAAGTTGGAAATGTTATATTGATGGTTTCTAAATCACTGCCTGCATCTGAATGACTTAGGGAGCTTTTTAAAAATACAGATTTCTGAGTAGTACTTTTATTACCATATTTGATTTAGTAGGTATAGGGTAAGTCCAGGAATTCATCTTTTTTTTTTTAAGGTCCTCGGAAGATTCTGATGAACAGTCAGTTTTGGGATTCATGATTATTGTCAGTGAAAGGAAAATAGATTTTCCTCACACCTTGTTCTAAAAATATTTTTCTATTTTGAACTTTATACAGGGTCCCTAGAGATAAGTTTACATTGCACATTAAATGCTCCCACAAGTAATGGTGAACATTAAACCTGTTGACAACAGTTTATAGTATGTAGATATGTGTATGAAATTGATGTAGCTTACTGAATCAGTCTTTATGTAGCTCTTAAGGAAACATTATAAAAATTTATAGATTTATTTTTTAATTGGATATACCAAAATAATTAAACTATTTTATTTTAAAATCGTACCTTTTTCAAATCAAGATTTTATGTCTTACATGTCACCTTTATCAATATTTCTGCAAGGAAAGGGACATTTTAAATTTTTCAAACAATATTGTTTTGACACTTTTTTTAAATGTACAATCTATTATTTATCTGAGTTCAACCTGAGATCACAAGAGAGGAGAATCTCTTAAGTCAAACCACAGAATAACTTCATTAATGGTTACATCTACAAGGAGAGGGGAAGAAGAAATGGTTACATTGTGAAAAGTATTAATTTCATTTGACTTTGAGCTATTGGAAGTCCAGATTTTTTAATCTGAGTGCCCCATTTTAAAAAAAGAAATAAAACCTTGCAAAATACGCTAGAATACATCCAGTAAAGGAAAATCAAGGTAAAAGATCAGAGGAAAAAATCAGTGTCTATTCTGTGAATGGTTGAAAGTTATAGAAGGACAGATTTTCAGCTCAGTTAAAGTCCAAACTTTCTAATAATTTGATGTAGCAGAGTAATGGGCTGCATTATTAGTGAGTTCCTTATGTGAGTGTCTGAGCATATGCTGGATGACTTATCTAGAATAATGTAGAAGAGAATTAAACATTGAAAGGGAGCTTAAATTAGTTAATTTCTGAGGTTCCCTTCCATTCTTAGAATTCTTTGATTTTTATATTGAATTGAGAGAACTGGTATAGTTGTTTTTATTTCAGCAGATTATAGCACCATTGTTCTCAAGGCATGGAAAATATGTTTTTCATCTTTGAGATTCTAAACCCTTTTCACTCATGGCAATTTCTTTTAGCTAGCCTCTAAGCTTGGAAAGCAATGGACGCCATTAATAATCCTGGCCAACTCTCGTAGTGGAACTAATATGGGAGAAGGACTGTTGGGAGAATTTAGGATCTTGTTGAATCCAGTCCAGGTAACTAAAGAAAAAAACTTCCTTTCTTTATTAATGTTTTAATTTTCCCTAAAATGGAATGGTTATTAATGCTTTAAGTCACTAACCACCTGATCATAGAAAAGAATAATAATTATGAAAAGATCAGCCATTTAAATATGTGGAGAAACAGGAACTCTTGTGGTGGGAATATAAAATGGTACAACCTCTTTAGAAGACATCTTGGCTGTTTCTTAAAAAGTTAAACATAAATTTATTGTATCTTCTAGCAATTCCTCTACTAGGAATCTACCCAAGTTAAGTGAAAACATTTCTCACAAAGATTTGCATGAAAATGTTCACAGCAGCATTATTCATGATAGCCAAAAACCATGAACAGCCCAGCTGTTCATGAGCTGATGAGCTGATAAACAAAATGTAGTGAGGCCATACAATGGAATACCATGAAATGACAAAAAGGAACAAACTACTGATACGTACATATTACAATAAATGAACCTCAAAAACATAGAGAAGGCAGATACAAGGGACCTTACATTGTATGACTCCATTTATCTGACTTGTCTAGAAAAGGCAAGTCTGTAGAGGTAGAGAATAGATTATTGGTTGCCTGAGGCTAGGGCTGGAAATGGAGAGTGACTGTGATTGGACATTGAGGGATCTTATTAAAGCAACAAAAATGTTCTAAACTGCATGATGGTGGTGGTTGTGCAATTCAGTGAACTTAATAAAAATTATTGGCTTGTTCACTTCAAATGGGTGAATCTTATATGTAAATTATACCTCAGTTTTAAAAATAAAGGGATCATTAAAATTGAATGTACAACTAGCGACTTTTACTTTGAAAAATTAACCAAAAAACAAAAAAAATTTTAAAAAGGAAAATTAAATAACCTATTGTGTAACAATTAGAAATGCAATGATTTTGTCCTTCCAATTTGTATTTTTTACACTTTCAATATTATACAGCTTAAGAAAATTTAAAAAAATACAGAGAAAATCATTTGCAATTTCTCCATACGAATACATTAGTTTTCTTTGTTCTTGTTTTTTCCATTAATTATCTATGCATTTACTTTACATGTTAACAGTACTGTAACAATAATCTAGATACAAATTTGCATTCTGAATTTTTTAACTTTAATGGTATAAATATTTTTCCTTGTTTCAACGTTGTCCTCATAATTACATATTTAATGACTAAAATAATTGAATGGAAATAGCATTATTTATCCACTCTCCTACTGTTGAAGGGTAACAGTGTCTCTATGATTGTGTTATAAATAATGCCACAGTGAATATTTTTATACATATTTTTAGGCATTTTTGTCTTTCGAAATATTTTTCTAGGGTCATTGACAGAGTGATGGATTATCAAAGTTACTTGCATTTTTATGTCATTTTCTATGTATTGCAAAATTGCTTTCTAGAAATTTGTACTAACTTGCACTGGTGATTTTTTTTTAAGCCAGTATAAGATATGAAATACTAGTTAAAGGTGAACTTAGCACATTGTGGTTTATGTGAACAAGAAGGAGGCAATGTGGTGTAATAGATAAACTATAACTTTGATTTTTTTTTTTTTTTTTTTTGAGACAGAGTCTTGCTCTGTCGCCCAAGCTGGAGTGCAGGGGCATGATCTTGGCTCACTACAACCTCTGCCTCCCAGGTTCAAGTGATTTTCCTACCTCAGCCTCCCAAGTAGCTAGGATCACAAGCACACAGCACCACACTGGCTAATTTTTGTATTTTAATAGAGACAGGATTTCGCCATGTTGGCCAGGCTGGTCTCGAACTCCTGACGTCAAGTGATCCAGCTGCCTTGCCCTTCCAAAGGGCTGGGATTATGGGTGTGAGTTACCACGCCTACCCTTGTATTTCAGCACTTAATTACCTGGAGAGTCACAGGCAAGGAATTTAACCTTCCTGCACCTCAGTTTGCAGCCCAATAGAATGAGGCTAACTCTTGCTTTGTAGAGTCAGTGTGGGGGTGAGCTACAATGAATATAAAGAGTCTGGCACAGTGCCTGGCATATTGTTCAGGTCATAGTAGCCAGTAATGTTATTTAACTATATCTCTACTCATCTAGAGAGAAATCATCCTTACAGATGAAGGAAAATGTTGGATAAAAATAATTTTTCTTTTTCTTTTGTTTCTAGGTTTTTGATGTAACTAAAACTCCTCCTATCAAAGCCCTACAACTCTGTACTCTTCTTCCATATTATTCAGCTCGAGTACTTGTTTGTGGAGGGGATGGGACTGTAGGGTGGGTCCTGGATGCAGTTGATGACATGAAAATTAAGGTATTAGTCTTTAAGAACTACTACAGAAGGACTTCTAAGATAAATATACTATGCATATATATATATATGGGTTTTTTGTTTGTTTGTTTGTTTGAGATACAGTCTCGCACTGTCACCCAGGCTGGAGTGCAGTGGCGCAAACACAGCTAACTGCAACCTCCATCTCTCAGGTTCAAGCCATCCTCCCACCTCAGCCTACAAAGTTGCTGGGACTATAAGTGTGCGCTACCATGCCTGGCTACTTTTTGTGTTTTTTGTAGAGACAGGGTTTCACCATGTTGCCTGGGCTGCTGTCAAAACTCCTGGGCTCAAGCAATCCTCCCACCTTGGCCTCCCAAAGTGCTGAGATTACAGGGGTGAGCCACCATGCCCAACCTAATATGGAATATTTTTACTTTATATTTTTTATTATGCAGATAAATATTAGACATTGCCAGCTCCAAATAGTTAAAAATGAGATGTTTTGATTAAGCAATTAGCACAAGCTTTAGCAAAACAACATACAGTTGTTATATTTGTATTCTTACTGTTTTGGTCTTAATAAATTTTGTAAAGTATTATTACCCAGCAAATAGTCTGCAGAGAAAAATCTAAAACATATCTTCCATATTCTAGGGACAAGAAAAGTACATTCCACAAGTTGCAGTCTTGCCTCTGGGAACAGGCAACGATCTGTCCAATACATTGGGTTGGGGTACAGGTTATGCTGGAGAAATTCCAGTTGCACAGGTTTTGCGAAATGTAATGGAAGCAGATGGAATTAAACTAGATCGGTAAGTTACATTTCCCCAAAAAGTAGATTTCTTGAGATTTAGCCATCATTGTTTGGTTTACAAATGAAGACTTGTGTAGGTGAAATGTGCCATGTAATTTAAATGTGAAAGACGATACTCGTTGTACTTATACATAGATACTGGTGTTTTGTTTTATTATGTAAGAGCCAAAGTAATAAGTTACACTGAGTACTTATCCCTAAATTTGCATGCTTATATACATGTGGTTACTTTTTTAGATGGTATTTTAATAGAAAACCTTCATTTATCCAAACATCCAGAGTACAGGGTTTATTGTAAAAAGTGTTTTTTTAAACTTCTGTTTTTTAGATGGAAAGTTCAAGTAACAAATAAAGGATACTACAACTTAAGAAAACCCAAGGTATGTTGTTAGTGCCTCAGTTGCAAGTAGTTTCAGCTTCATTGCACAAGATACGGCACTCTGTGGTGGGATACAGAGACCTGGTGCTTATCTCAAGGGAGCTGGCTATGGAGCAGAACAGAAACTTATATGCTTACCTCACGAGCTGGACTGTAAATGTGTTACGGGAGTGCACCTGTTCTGCCTAGCTGATGTGGCTGAGAAGATTCAGAGGAAGTGATATGGGAATTGGTCCTTAAAAAAGCGAAGGACTTTCCAGGCAGAGAGTGCAAAGCATGGTTAGCAAGTAGCAAATAATACAGAGAGAGCAGATCTGTATTTTTTTTTTTTTTTTTTTTTGAGACGGAGTCTCGCTCTGTCGCCCAGGCTGGAGTGCAGTGGCCGGATCTCAGCTCACTGCAAGCTCCGCCTCCCGGGTTCACGCCATTCTCCTGCCTCAGCCTCCGGAGTAGCTGGGACTACAGGCGCCTGCCACCTCGCCCGGCTAGTTTTTTTGTATTTTTTAGTAGAGACGGGGTTTCACCGGATTAGCCAGGATGGTCTCGATCTCCTGACCTCGTGATCCGCCCGTCTCGGCCTCCCAAAGTGCTGGGATTACAGGCGTGAGCCACCGCGCCCGGCCGCAGATCTGTATTTTTAAGATACTCTGAAGATAATGTGAAAATAGCTTAGAAGCCTGTACTAGGCAGAATCAGGATGAGGACAATGCAAAGACATTTTAGAGGTAGAATTAATCAGTACTTAACAACTGATTAGTATAAAGGGAAGAGAGAAAATACATATTACTACTAGATTTGTAGTTTTTATAACTGGATATATGGAAATGACTATAAGAAAAATACCAAAAATACCAAGTTTCAGGTTTGGGTAGGAAGAAAATGAGTAGAATTGAGCATATCAATCTAAAAGTCTTTGAAGTGTTGAACAAGAAGTTGGAAGTTTAGGCTTATTGCTCAGGAATAAAGACAGAGCTAGAGATGCAGATTGAGGAATCTAGACTGGGTTAGAAAGTAAAATAAACTGGGGTGGGAGCGGGGGAGTAGCCCAAGTTGTGGGATTCATGCCCGTAGTTATCAGCCTTTGAACTGAAACTTTATTTCTGATAATTGTTTAAATGCTGAGAATATGGGGAGTGAGAAGGGAAAAGAGGGTCAAGAACTACATCTTTTTTTTTTCTTTTATTTTGGAGACAAGGTCTCGGTCTGTCACTCAAGCTGGAGTGCGGTATTGTGATGACAGCTCACTGCAGCCTCGACCTCTGGGACCAAGCGATCCTCCCACCTCAGCCTCCCAAGTAGCTGGGACCACCAGCATGTGCCACCATGCCCAGATAGTTTTTATTTTTGTTTCTGTTTTGTAGAGAGAGGGTCTCCCTATATTGTCCAGGCTGATCTCAAACTCCTAGGCTCAAGCAGTCCTCCCTCCTCAGCCTTCTGAAGTATTGGGATCAGGCATGAGCCACTGTGTCCAGCCACAAACTACATCTTGAAAATAGGTACATTTAGGTGACACAGATTAAGAGAGGCCACTAAGGGAAACTAAAGAGTGTAGTAGGTAAATAAGGAGAAAACAGAGAAAGAGGATTACAGTAGGTGGGTGATAAACAGCCAAATTAAAGCAGACTTTAAAGAAGAGCATTTGGGGAACTCATGCATGTTTCTTTGCTTCTCTCTCTCCTTGCCACTAAAATCCCTCTAAAATGGGGATACAGATCTTGTATAGATCTTTGAGAAGGCACAAAACCTTAAGGAGAAAGAGATCACAGCAGTCTTCAGAAGCCAAAACTAGGAAGGTTCACATAATTGAAAAAAGCTCAAAAGTGCCTACACTGCAGAAAACCAAGAAAGAAACCAGTTTATTGAGCAGAACCAAGCAAAGGCTTAGGAATTCAGGTCACTACATCACTCAGAGAGCAGTAGTATAGAGTGGGTCTGAAAATAGAAGGAGTGAGCCAAAGAAGCTGTTTGTCCCCTTTCCCCAGCTTCACGTGGTCATTTACTACCCTCCTCAACTCAGGTAGTAGATTGGAGGTTTACTCTGGAAAGTTTAGAGAGTCTCTAGCCAGCTAATGCCATACTGAAAACAGATTTAGTGCAAAGTGAGATCACTGGCCCTTTTCATCCACTCAACTTCAAGAATAGTGGCAGAGAGTATTTCTCTCTGGGAAGCTAACTTGCCCAAGGAAAAAATTAACAGGTACCGATATTTGAGTGTCCCCTAGCAAAAGGACCAGGTTTTTTGCACTGTAGTCCTATAATGAAGCTTATACCGTAGCAAGACCTGCTTTTGGATGCAAAGTTCACAGTTTGCCTTTTTTGCCTTACTCTTAAAACATGAACAGATACAGCCAAGGATTGGAGGCACAAGCAGGCATTTAAGGAAAGCCTCTATCATGAGAGAGCCCCAAATAAGAAGAAAGAATTATAGGAAACACAGTCCAGGAAGCTGAAGTAAGTCAGGGAGTGGGACTAATGTTCTCAAAAAAAAATGAAAATATTTATAGAACAGGGTTCTATAAAAGGAACATTCAGAAACACACACCTCAAAAAAGGCTCTGACAAACTAAAATTCAGTATCAGACTGGAAAGTACAATTGAAGACACCACTCAGAAAATACAACAAAAAGCAAAGGAACTGGACATGGGGGCACACGCCTGTAGTCCCAGCAACTCAGGAGGCTGAAGCCAGAAGATTGCTCGAGTCCAAGAGTTCAAGGCTGCAGTGAGCTATCATCACGCCACTGCACTCCAGCCTGGGTGACAGAGTGCAGATGAGACCCCCATCTCTAAAAAAAGAGAAAAAGAATAAGTAATATTTAAAATTTAAAAATCAGGTGCGGTGGCTCATGCCTGTAATCCCAGCACTCTGGGAGACTGAGGCGGGCAGATCATGAGGTCAGGAGTTTGAGACCAGTCTGGCCAACATGGGGAAACCCCGTCTTTACTAAAAATACAAAAATTAGCCAGGTGTGGTCGTGGGTGCCTGTAATCCCAGCTACTTGGGAGGCTGAGGCAGGAGAATTGCTTGAACCCGGGAGGCAGAGGGTGCAGCGAGCCAAGATCGCGCCACTCTACTCCAGCCTGGGCAACAGAGCAAGACTCCATCTCAAAAAAAAAAAAAAATCAAGAAATAATCTGATTATGTTACTTAGAAATATAGAGATAAATACCAGAAGAAAAAACTATGGAAAGAGCTGTGGGAACAGGAATTACAAATGAGGAGTAGACAGAAAATTGCAGTGTTTCCTTTGAAGCCTTGTAGAACTATACAGCTTATTAAAGTGGATTGCTTTGATTTATTTAAAAAAAATTAAACATAAAAAAAAGAGAAAGTATTGGAGATCCTTTAAAATGGTTCCTGTGCTCAGAAGTATTTGTCAGTTATCATAGTGCCTGAAATACCAACATTAGAGATGTGTTTCTCTTTTTGATAGAAGCCAATCTAATAGGTACGAGGTGATAGCTCATTGTGGTTTCCATTTGCAGTTCTCTGATGATTAGAAATGTTCAGCATTTTTCCATATGCAGGTTGAATATCCCTTATCCAAAAAAAGGTTGTGGCCAGAAGTATTTCAGATTTCTGATTTTTTTGGATTTTGGAATATGTGCAGAATATATACCCGTTGAGCATTTCTAATCTGAAAAGCTGAAATCCAAAATGCTCCCATGAGCATTTCCTCTGAGTGTCATGTCAGTGTTCAAAAAGTTTCAGATTTGGGGACATTTCAGATTTCAGATGTTCGTATTACGGATGCTGAATCTGTATCTGTTGGCCATTTTTATGTCTTTTGAGAAATGTCTCTTCAAGTCCTTTTGCCCATTTTTTAATAAGATTATTGGTTGTTACTGAGTAGCTTGAGTTCCTTCTACATTTTGGAGATTAGTTCCTAATTGAGTGTATGATTTACAGATATTTTCTCCCAAGCTGTGGGTTGCCTCTTCACTCTTGTTTTCCTTTGCTGTAGAATCTTTTTAGTGTGATGCAATCCCTTTTGTCTATGTTTACTTTTATTGCCTGTGCTTTTGAGGTCATATCAAACCAAATAACTGCCCAGGCCAATGTCATGAAGCTTTTTTTTTACATTTTCTTTTAGTACTTTTATAGTTTCAGGTTGTACATTTAAGTCTTTAATCCATTTTGAGTTGATTCTTTATAATGGGTAAGATAAGGGTTGATTTTCAGGCCGGGCGCGGTGGCTCAAGCCTGTAATCCCAGCACTTTGGGAGGCCGAGATGGGCGGATCACGAGGTCAGGAGATCGAGACCATCCTGGCTAACCCGGTGAAACCCAGTCTCTACTAAAAAATACAAAAAACTAGCCGGGCGAGGTGGCGGGCGCCTGTAGTCCCAGCTACTCGGGAGGCTGAGGCAGGAGAATGGCGTGAACCCGGGAGGCAGAGCTTGCAGTGAGCTGAGATCCGGCCACTGCACTCCAGCCTGGGCGACAGACCGAGACTCCGTCTCAAAAAAAAAAAAAAAAAAAAGGGTTGATTTTCATTGTTCTGCACGTGGATATCCAGCTTTCCCAGTACCATTTATTGATGAGACTCTCCTTTCCCTATTGTATGTTCTCGGCACCTTTGTCAGAAATCAATTGGCCATTGATATGTGTATTTATTTTGGGCTTTCCTATCCTATCTCATTGGTCAGTAATAACAAGTGTTGGCAAGGATGTGGAGAAGACAGAATCCTTATACACTATTGGTATTGCAAATTAATACAACCATTTTGGGAAACAATATGGAGGTTTCTCAAAAAACTGAAACTAGAATTACCATTTGTTCCAGCAATTCCATTTATAGATACATACCCAAAGGAATTGAAATTAGTATATCAAACAGATGTCCATGCTGCCATGTTCATTGCAGCGTTATGTACAATAGCCAAGATGCAGAAATAACCTAAGTGCCCATCAGTGAATGAATGGTTTTTTTAAATATGCCATATATACACAATGGAAAACTATCCAGACTTTAAAAAAAAAGAAAAGGAAAATCTGTCATTCTCGGCAACATAGCTGAACCTAGGGGACATTATGTTAAATAAATAAACCAGGCCCAGAAAGACAAATATTGTATGATGTCACTTATATGTGGAATCTAAAAAATTAAAACTCAAAGTTGAGAGTAGAGTGATGGTTACCAGAGGCTGTAGAGGGTAGGAGAGTAGATGGAGAAAGGGGAGACATTGGTTAACAGGTAAAAAGTTTTAGTTAGATAGGAAGAATAAGTTCTGCTGTTGCACAGCTTGGTGACTATAGATAATGTATATTTTCAAATTGCTAAAAGAGAGGTTTTTTGGTTTTTGGGGGTTTTTTGAGACGGTCTCACTCCATTGACCAAGTTGGAGTGCAGTGGCGTGATCACAGTTCACTGCAGCCTAGACTTCTTGGGCTCAAGTGATCTTCCCATCTTAGCCTCATTAGTAACTGGGACTACAGGCACATGCCGCCACATCCAGCGAATTTTATTTTTATTATTTTCAATAGAGACAAGATTTGTCTGTGTTGCCCAGACTGGTCTCAAACTCCTGAGCTCAAGCAGTCCACCCACCCCAGCCTCCCAAGTGCTGTGATTATAAGTGTGAGCCTAAAAGAGAGGATTTTAAATGTTCTCACCACAAATAAATGATAAATATTTGAGGTGATGGATATGCAAAAAAAAAAAAAAAAAAGATGTATTTCTCATTCATACCAGGATGTATTACTATTCAGTAATAAAGTGGAGCTGAGTATTTAGAAATATTTATCAGAGATCATTCCTCCGAAGAAAGATGGACAAAGTTTTACACCAGTTAGATGATTCAAATAAAAAGACATATTCTTCAGCCATTTGCTGTCAAAAATAAATACACTACAATCAAGTAGTGTCTGCTTACCTCTATAGAAGAACATCCAAACAATCAAATACAAGAAGGAACTTCATTTATCTATACATTCAGGCAAGTATTTTGTGCCCATCTGGTGCCAGACACTGTCCTAGGTGCTGGAGTTTCAGTGATGAAGGCCTTGCCCTCATGAAGCTTATATTACCCCACTCTTAGTTTCTGAATAAAGGACGCCTAGAAAACTAGAAAAAAAAATTCAGTTAAAAAATAAGGCACATTAATGTACATTGACGTATTTTATTTAAAATAAGATGTTTATGGGTTTTGTTTAAAAGAACAACTAGGATTGAAAATTATATTTTGGCAGTGAAGGGACAGACATTTAGTTCCATAAGAGATGAATGGGAAAAGGATAAAAAGAACAAATGACCAAATTTAGACTTAACCATCAAAAGGAGGAAGAGCATCTTTGATTTGGAGGAGAAAGGTACACTTGAGTAAAGTCAGAATGTTTAGATGGCAGAAAGAGAGCAGGAGAATTCATACCTTTCATACCTGAGGATCTCATTTTTTTCAGTGAGGCAAGAATCAAGATCATCTGAACATAACAAAGGCAAGGGAGCAAGTTACCAGGGACTTGAAGAGAGTTGTAAATTTTGAAATAAACCACTAGGGAATACAAGAAAGGGGTCATCGAAGGGGTTACTGTGTCCTATTAGCGATTGTGTCCAGCCATCCTTAGAAATAACTTTGTAACAGGATCATAATTATGAGATTCTTACCAGCAATGTCCAGCAACCTGGAAATAGAGCAGAGAAAACAGTTTGATTTAGAGAAGATTAACAAGTAAGGCTGGCCAGGCGCGGTGGCTCATGCCTGTAATCCCAGCACTATGGGAGGCTGAGGTGGGCGAATCATGAGGTCAGGAGCTCGAGACCAGCCTGGCCAACATGGTGAAACCCCATCTCTACTAAAAATACAAAAAAAGTAGCCAGGCATGGTGGCGGTCACCTGTAATTCCAGCTACTCGGGAGGCTGAGGCAGGAGAATTGCTTGAACCCGGAAGGCAGAGGTTGCAGAGAGCTGAGGTCGCACCACTGCATTCCAGCCCGGCGACAGTCTGAGACTCTGTCTCATAAAAAAACAAAGCTAAATTAAGAAGAGGTCAAGAGAGTGTTGGAACGAAGGATGGTGTTGAGTACAGTCGTTGAAATGGTTGACCTTGGAATCCAGGCCGCATTGGGAAGTAAGATAAATTAAGGTGAGACCAGTAGCCTGGGTTGGGACTAATAGAAGCTGAGAGCTTGGAGGCTGTGATAAATGTAAAGAGCAAATGTAATGGAAACACAGGCATGAAAAGCCTGGAAGCATCAAGTAGAGCCATTCTAGATGGTAAGGTCTGAGGTGTAGCATATAAAACAGAAATGGAAGATGAGATTCACATCTGTAGTTATCAGCCTTAAATGGAAGCTTTATTTCTGGTAACGTCACCGGACAGTATAAAATGGCCATGTGAAAAGTAAATGCAGAAAGCATCTCCCTTTACAAAAGAACACAAAGACTAAGATTGACATTTAATTATGACTCAGGCTTAGGTGGAATCATAGTCTGTTGCTTATTCTTACCCTTTCTCACAGGAATTCACAATGAACAACTATTTTTCTGTTGGACCTGATGCTCTCATGGCTCTCAATTTTCATGCTCATCGTGAGAAGGCACCATCTCTGTTTTCTAGCAGAATTCTTAATAAGGTGTGTTGGATAAAATAACATTTCCTGCTTATCACCGAAGGTACAGTAAAAATCAATAGTTCAATTATATTTAGCACTTTTAGATTCAGATTTAATTAACTTTTTACCTGCTCTGTTTTGTGTAGGATCGTCAAATTAGATCTTTTTTTTAAATTAGATCTTTAAATGTACTTTAGCAGGCCGGGCACAGTGGCTCATGCCTGTAATCTTAGCACTTTGGGAGGCGGAGGCAGGTGGATCACTTGAGGTCAGGAGTTCAAGACCTGCCTGGCCAATGTGGTGAAACCCTGTCTCTACTAAAAATACAAATTTAGCCGGGCGTGGTGGCAGGTGTCTGTAATCCCAGCCACTCGGGAGGCTGAGGTAGGAGAATCTCTTGAAACCAGGAGGCAAAGGTTGCAGTGAACTTAGATCATACCACTGCACTCCAGCCTGGGCAACAGAATGAAGCCTCATCTCAAAGAACAAAACAAAACAACTTTATCAAAGTATAACATAATTCTAACAATTTTTTTAAATTCAAATTTGGGGTGTTTTATAGCATATTTTGCTTAGATGGCAACTAAATGGAATATATGATAGTTTATCTTAAACGGCAGCTAAAATTGGAAGGAAATCTTAGGCAGACTAAATTTTTGGTGAGGTCATTAATGGAACAGTAGATTTCATTGGTTTGAAAAACCTCCAGAGGGCAGATGAGATAAAGAAAAGAGAAGCTTGTTTGCCACAGCTTTGAACTAAGGTCATATCTGGTTTCTAGTACAGTTGATTCCTTTGATGTAGTTTTGCTTAGGAATTTTTTAAATAACGTTTGGTGATTGACCAACAGGATATCAAAAATAAATGCAAAGCAATTGTATTCCTGGTTCTGTTTTACAAATATTTCAAGTTTTGTAAAAGGGAAATAGTTCCCTTTTATTAATGTAGTTACTAAGGTAATATGTATTACTATTTATACAATTGATAATTAACTCATCTCAGTCCTTACATCAATCTTTCTGTATTCGAAAGTGATTAGAAAATGTTTGTTAGATTAATATGCATTACTCTTCTTAAGTAATCTGAGGTACTAGGAAAAAGTGGAATTTTCTAACTTGAATATTTTTCTTTATAAAATACAACTTTTTTGATAAATTGGGAGAAAACACCATTTAGAAACAAATCACTTGTAGGTTGGGTGTGGTGGCTCATGCCTGTAATCCCAGCACTTTGAGAGGCCAAGGTGGGCAGATCACGAGGTCAGGAGATCAAGACCATCCTGGCCAACATGGTGAAACCTCGTCTCTACTACAAATACAAAAATTAGCCAGATGTGGTGGCGCACGCCTGTAGTCCCAGCTCCTTGGGAGACTGAGGCAGGAGAATCACTTGAACTCGGGAGGCAGAGGTTGCAGTGGACCGAGATCGCACAACTGCACTCCAGCCTGGTGACAGAGCAAGACTCCATCTCAAAAAAAAAGAAAAAACCACTTCTATTCCACATTTCCCCTGAGAAAGAGGCTAATTACACTTAAATGAAATGGCCTGTATTGTCATCTTCCATAAAAGAAGGATGAGTAACCACAGTTCACCTAGAACTTTTAAACTATTAATAGCTTAAGAGAATAAAATGTGAAATAACAAATGATGCCAAAAGTATCTGTGATATATTAAAGGCATTTTTACATTGTGTTTTAATTATAGATTTCCATTGCTGCTCCTAGTGGATTCCAATTTTACCCTTTGAAATTACTAGAATGGAGGTGTTGGATAGGGCCAGAGGGTGCACATCAAAAGTATCCCTTTTGGTTGTCCTTCTTTTCATCAGCATCTAGTCTACCGTAAGGAAAATGCGCTTCAACATTCTTGAAGGGAGCTTTGATACAGTGTATTTTTTCTTAATGTTTACAGGGTTAGACTGTTTTAATATTATGTTTTCTGTCCATTTTTCATAGGCGGTTTACTTATTTTATGGAACCAAAGATTGTTTAGTGCAAGAATGTAAAGATTTGAATAAAAAAGTTGAGGTAAGCTATTAACTCTTTTTATTTTTTAAAGTTTTAGGTGGTCTCTGGATTATGAAGACGTTTTAAAAAGAAATGCTAAACTTTCTGTTAATATATTTTGCCAGCATACATAGAGTATTTATTTGTGTGCCAGGCACTTTGCTACATGCTTTATACACATTGTCCCTCTAAATTCTCTCCACAATTCTATAAGGCATGTATTATATATTTACATTATACAGAAAACTATTTTGAATGAAGTAATTTGCCCAAATTCTCTCATTTAATGCCTAAATACACATGTAATCAAGATGTGAACCCAGATTTATGTAAATCCAGAATCTCTTTATTAGGATGAGTGGCCTCCATTCATACATGATAAATAATTTACAGTTATCTAATACAGTGCCTGACTCAACATAAAGACAGAGGAAGTTTAAATGGAAAGTTTAATTCAGATTACTTTTGTGGGGTATCTCTCTTACACACCAAAATAAAAATGTGTAAATAGTAAAAATAGAATATTAATGATTGCTTGTTGCGAGAGCATCTCTGACGTTATGATATGGCAGTCTTATATATATTCCTTGCTTGATTCCAAAAAGAATCTGTAATGGTTAATAGCAACAACAAAGACGTTAATTCAGAGCAACCTAGAACTGATAAAATAAAGAGATCATAAACAGCTTGGGAAAGGAGACAATGAGCAGGGAGTAAGGAGGCTGATGATACATTAGTCAAGGAAACATGTTGCCGTTAGGCATAATGTTTAGCTCAGAGTCTCTAGGCAGCCTTGGCGTAGAAGCAAGAACAACATTTTCTGTTAAAAAGAGTGTTACGGCCGGGCGCGGTGGCTCGCACGTGTAATCCCAGCACTTTGGGAGGCCGAGGCAGGCGGATCACAAGGTCAGGAGATCGAGACTGTCTTGGCTAACATGGTGAAACCCCGTCTCTACTAAAAATACAAAAAAAAAATTAGCCGGGCGTGGTGGTGGGCGCCTGTAGTCCCAGCTACTCTGGAGGCTGAGGCAGGAGAATGGTGTGAACCCGGGAGGCGGAGCTTGCAGTGAGCAGAGATCGCGCCATTGCACTCCAGCCTGGGTGACAGAGCAAGACTCCGTCTCAAAAAAAAAAAAAGAGTGTTATGTTACTTTATCATATTTTATTTTTCTTGGCTTTGATAGTATTGGTAGAGTAAAGCATGCAAGCACATAAAATAAAGACCTTTATTTTATTGTCTGACATTTTATTTATATAAAAATACAAATACTTTTAATTATACAGAAATAAAATAAACTGTATACCTACAAAATAGTCATTGTCCTCGATACTGGAGGTACAGTGATAAATCCCTTGCTGTACATTTACAGTCTAGGGTGAAGAAAGGTATTTAAACCAGTCTGGGCACAGTGGCTTATGCCTGTAATCCCAGCACTTTGAGAGGCCAAGGTGGGAGGATTGCTTGAGGCAAGGAGACTAGCCTGGGCAACATAGTGATACTCCACTTTTACAAAAAATAAAAATAGCTGAGCATAGTGGCATGTACCTGTGGTCCTAGCTGATCAGGAGGCTGAGGCAGAAGGATCATTTGAACCCAGCAGGCAGAGGCTACAGTAAGCCGTGATTGTACCACTGCACTCCAGCCTGGGTGACAGATTGAGACCCTGTCTCCAAGAAAAAACCAAAAAGATATTTCACACATTGCAATGCAGTATGAGAAGTTATGTAAGAAAAGCATGTGGTCTTACAGGAATAAATAACTGCAATACGTAACCTAGGAGCTACAGAGACTAGGGAAAGTGGCAGTCTTTCTGGAAGAAGTGACAAGATGGAATCTGAAAATAAGTAAGAGTTAGCTAAGAGGAGGAGGAGGGTAAGATTGCTGTAGGCTAAAAACAGCATGTGCAAAAGACCCAGAGGCGCACATGGCATGTTTCAGTGAGTTCAGGCTGGAGCATAGCTTTCAGGAAGGAAAGTGACAAGAGCTGAGGCTAGAGAGATGGACAGAAGTCAAATTACAGAGTGTCATATTTGCCTGGTATTGGAGCTTGGATTTCATCATGGGCATTGCAGGGTTGAAGTGAAGCCATTGAAGGGCTGTAATTAGAGGATGACATATTTGCATTTTTAAAATGTCGATCCAATTGCTCTGTGAGGGATGCATAAGAAAGTAACGCTAGAGGCAGATAGGCCAGATAGGAACTTTTAGGGAAGAAATGGTGGAGAGAGAGAAAGACATAGAAATAGCATCAACTGTTTTTAGTGATTAAGGGGATGTGGAGGGTAAAAAGTCAAAGAAATCAAAGATAACTGGCAGGTTTCTGGCTTAAACAGCTGGGTTGGGGGTGAGTTAACCTACTTACTAGGAAAGAGTAAGTAAGAGTTAGCTAAGAGAAGGAGGAGGGGAAGATTGTTACTCTTTCCTGGTAAGCACATTGGGGAACAGGGAACAGATTGCAGAAAAGTTGCTTGTTCAATTTTTTACATAGGAGTTTTTGGTGCCAGTTCATGGACATGTTTTGGAGGCAGTGGATAGACAGATCTGGCCCAGTTTACTTTCCTGAAAAGGAACATCCAGGGAAGTAGAGTCTGTGGTTCCCAGGAAGCAAAGGGAAAGAAGATTTTAGGAAAAGAGGAAGGGAGTCAGCAAGTGTCAGGTACTACTGAAACAGCAATTTAGATAAGGCCTGAAAAAATCGCAGGGTTCAACAAAAAGGACATTATTGATGATGTTGCAAGCAGTTCCACTGAAGAGATAGAAAAGGCCAGATGAGAGGCCCTGAGTGAGAGGTAGGGAGCATCTTCTACATGTGCGTCTCTCACATATAAGCACATTTATGAAAATAGATGTGAATTCTAAATGGATGTGTATGGAAATCATGTACCCTGTAGTCACTATCTGTTTGTATTTCTTTAAAGCTAGAACTGGATGGTGAGCGAGTAGCACTGCCCAGCTTGGAAGGTATTATAGTTCTGAACATTGGTTACTGGGGCGGTGGCTGCAGACTATGGGAAGGGATGGGAGACGAGACTTACCCTCTAGCCAGGTATGTACATTTGTGGTCTGTTTTTTTATGTCACTATTTTATTTAAAGCAATCTCTTGTTTATAGACTTTAACATTTTTTCTTAAATTTTCTTTTTTGTATATCTCATTAGTTATAGTATTTTTAAAGTTGATGGTCCAACTGTGTTAAAAAGTAATTGCTCTAGCATAACTGATTTTGTTTTATTGCATCATATAATCCGTATTTTCTTTTTCCAATTTTAGGCATGACGATGGTCTACTGGAAGTCGTTGGAGTATATGGGTCTTTCCACTGTGCTCAGATTCAAGTAAAACTGGCGAATCCTTTTCGAATAGGACAGGCACATACAGTGAGGGTAGGTGAAATATGGCTGTAACAGGCTAATTTTTCCCAGTCCATTTCTAAGCTGTTGATACGTAAAGTATACATGCTATACCTTTCTTTAAACAGTGGTTTATGGCTCATGCAGTTGGTCACTGTACACCAGGGGCTAGAGTGGGATGAGGAAGAAACAGAAACATGGCTCAAGCTCTATGAGATAAAACATTCACTTGAAAAAAGAATTCCTTAATCAATGAATAAAAACATATTCAGATTAATATTTTCTAAAAATGAAATGCATAAGGGTTAAGGGATTGTGGATGGTGTTATTAAGGAAGACCTTTCTAAATTTTGGGGGACTGACTTTTAAACGTTATTTGTTCCCTAATATCAGCTGATTTTGAAGTGCTCCATGATGCCAATGCAGGTGGATGGGGAGCCTTGGGCCCAAGGGCCCTGCACTGTCACCATAACTCACAAGACACATGCAATGATGTTATATTTCTCTGGAGAACAAACAGATGATGACATCTCTAGTACTTCGGATCAAGAAGATATAAAGGAGACTGAATAGATGGATGAGGGAGTGAAAACTTTGCATAGAATCCTCACGCAAGTAGATGTATGTTCATCCAAAAGTATTAATAGAAATTCTCTATCAGCTATTCAGTCTTAATTTCACTAGTAGTATTATGGGTATACATTTTTGTAAATAGCATCCCCAAACCAGCCAGCCTTCAGTTATTTACAAACATTTGTTCTTTTTTCAGCAAAATACTTCAAATGAGTAGTATTAACTTACGAAAAGTCAAAAAAACTTACATGAGAGTGAAAATTTGTTATGACTGTTTTGAGAGTGGGACTCGCTCTGAAGTATGTGCTGTCTCATTTCTTATTTTTGAACCATGCATATGATGGACGCACAATGGATGGACACATTATATCTCCAACAAGGTGTGGGTGGAAAGATCATTTCCATCTTCATTTTTAATATGGTGACACCATAGCATTTTAAAAATTAACCTGCTTTTTTGAAAGGAAATGATTACTGTCAAACCACCATGGTTAATCGTGGGCATCCTCCTGCAGCATGCCTCTTAAAATTTTCTGCAACCCAAACCAAGTATATGTATTGATTTTTAGGAACCCCCAAAAGGAGAATAGTAAAAAAAGATCATAGTTAAAATTTGTATTATAATTTTTATTTTAGGCACTTATTCAGACACGTAAATGTTGTTTAATTCTGTAGGTAACCATTTGAGCTGAAATTCAGGATCTTTTTTATGACACCAGTGTAGCCAAAAGAGAAGCAGATAAGTGAATTGGTAAGAAATAAGATTCAGAGCACTTTGGATTGTAAGTTATAGGTTCTGAGCTGAACAGTTCATCACCCTCTCTTTTTATTAAAAGACAGTGTCAACACTTCAAAAATTGTGCTTAAAGGAAACTTAATGGTGAGATTAATTGCTTAGGAAAAGCTCAAGGCTGACTGATAAGTTTTAAAACTTTAGTGGTCTAGTAGCATTTTGAAATACAGTAGTCTTTTAACAGAATTTCCCCTTAGGGAGGTAAGTGGACAGAAATCTTTGCTAAAATGTTTATATCATATTTATTTTAAAATGAGAGATATATATTTTTAAATTATTTATTATTTACCTTGTGGTATGATACCTGTGTTTAGTGTTTACGTTCTGTAGCTTTATTTAATAAGTTAAATTGATCACATAAATTCTGCTAGTCACAATCAGATAGAAATTTAGTCTATTAAGTAATTAAAATTCTAATTTAATTCTCCTGACAGATATCTAGACATTCTTATTCTTCACAAATATTCCTCATTGTATTGAAAAAAGAAGGAGGGCATGAAAAGCACTAGGGAACTACTTTTGGATAACTGAAAGCTTTGTTTCATTGTTTTATTTGCCCCTCAATTGCCACAAACTTACTGAAGGGCCAGTTTCATGGTTCCCATTAGAGGGTGCTTGTTCTCTGCTGTTGACCAGCCCATCCCTTCATTACCCACAGGTAGGCTGACCCAGTGGGCATCTAGCCTGGTGTTTTTCTGACAAATGGCCCGTTTGTAGGCATTGTGCTCTTTCATGACATTAATCTCTGAAAGATCAGAATGTTTCCCCCAAAATACCATTAGCAGTCTTTGAGGGTCTATTATGAATCTGTCATCGGTGAATTGCCATAAACCTAAGTTTGCCTCACCTCAGGCCCAGACCATGTTTTCGAAGAGCAACTTAGTAATGTATACAGTACTCAGTACATTTTATGAAATATTTTATTTTGCTAAATTAACCTCTTCCAGATCTCCTCGGGTGATCTTAAATTCTAGTCTTGAGAAACTTTATGAGCAGATCTGTTTTCAGTTTATTTATACACCTTTCATGGTAGGTAACCATGGCAGTAAGGATGGCAGAGTTTTGTTTTTTTAATGGGCCAATCATTCTGAGTATTATGAGGTTTATATCCTTCATTCATGATCAAAATTGTTAAAGATATCACATTTTAAAAATACACTGTTAAATTCACTTTGCTGTAGGTTATAGTTTACCTGTTATAAAATTCATAGTGCTAATTATAGTAGAAGCAAAGTACATCAATTTAGGATGTCGGAATTAAAATAATCACAATAACTAATATAGTTTTTTAATTGTGAAAACTACAATTAAAAATTGGAATTTTAATACCAATCATAATATTACATTATATTTAGAACAGCTTATGTAAAATGCCCTCATTTATCTAAACAAGTTGATTTTTTTGGTTATTGTAATCTAGTAAGGTTTTTGCGTCACTACTGATCTGTCATGAAGTTTTTTGGCTGGCTTATTCACTCATTTAGACTTCATTTAGGGAAGCTATTTCAGAATACCATATCAAAACGTATCATCTTGTTTTTGCAAAATTCACTTACTTTTTTGGGCACATTTACCCAGCATTTTAAATAAATGTATAGGCATGTGTCTTGTTTAAATAAGTACAATTTATAAGACTTCATGTTTGCAAGTTACATATTAGGGTAGTGATTGTTTATATTACCAGGGATTCTACACTTTACCAAAAAAATTGCCATAAGATTTTCCTGTTCCATTTTAAATTGTCTTGATATTTAAAAAAATAACTTCAACATTCTCAGGAAGAAATACATGAAGTAAATCATATCTCCATGTCTGTTTCCAGATTTCTCTCATCTTTTTACTATCCCAATACATTCCTTACTCCTATAAATGTAGTGGCTTAAATACTGAATACCTGGCAGCTCTTACAGCTCCCGTAGGCAGATGATGATAATTTTCAGTGTTTTGTCATGTTTAATAGAGATCAAACTGACTTGTGTTTTAAAATACAAGTTTTCTACTAGTAAGGTTACATGATTTAAGTGTGTTTTAGGTTTTCTGCAACAATTAGCTGTGAACCCCTAATGTAGCTAATGTTTATACAAATTTTATAGTCAAAATTATTTATTTTTATTTTTTTAGAGTGTTTCAAAAACATAGTGTTTGCTTTGTGAAATACATTTGCTTAGAGTTATAGTCTACTGTGACTCAGAAATTGTAAAGTCAATTTGCGTTGTAAAAATGAATACTACCAGCATGTCAAAAGAAAAATAATTTGCATTTGTAATATAAAGTAAAATTGAATTTAATATATTTATTGAATTTTAAATTTGCACTAACTTGAAAACTTTAAAGGTTATACTAACTTAAAGATTAATGTGGACCCAAATACATAATTTGTTTGGCCAAAAAGGTCATTAGAATGGGTAATGGTTTTGTGTGGTTTTCCTTCAAAATGATAATATTGAAGCAAGAACCAATGTTTTATATTGATAATTTTTTTAATATTTCCACCCAGTTGAGGACAGTGGAATATAAGTAGATTTATTTAAAATATCTAGATATTTTAAAAAGAAAGAAAAGGTTGTTTATCCCAATCTGAATTCATTCTCAGCAACAAGACAGAAAAGGTGGGGTTTGGGTTTTGCTTTTAAACAGTGTCCCCCTGTCTTTTTTGATTTTTCCCTTGAAGCCTTTCTCCTGTTCCTCAGAGTATGCTCTGCAGGCTATCTGCAGCATCAGAATGCCTGGGCAGGCTGTTGAAAATATGGATTCCTGAGCCCAACCCTTAACTTAATGATTCCATGTCTCTGGAGACGCAACATAGAAATCTGTTTTTATTACCAAGCACCTCAGGCGATTCTTAAGCATACTGAAATTTGAAAGCTTCTGGTCTGAACCTCTTGTATTCACCTAGGGCTTTTGCTAGGTGGGATACCATGCCGAAAAATTGAATTAATTGTATGTTCTTAAAATTGTTTTTCTTCTACTTCACTATCCTCTTCCCTCAAAGTCACTTTTCTAAAAGAACTCTATGAAAAACTTGTTTGTATCGTACCCAGATTGATATATTTGTCTGAACTCTGTTACATAAAAATTGGTATGATTCATACGTGGAGTCAGTTTTTGGACTGTGACCCATGCAGTGTCGGGGGACAAGGAGTTGCTTCAGGAGTTAGTTATAGTGCGCCTCCAAGGGACAGCAAGCCATGGAGGCTCCCGCCTTCTCACTTCAATCAATGCAGCCACACTTGTGTATACTGAGTGCTGCTTCAGATCTCAATAGATAAAATACTTCCACATTTAAAATGATTCTACTATTTTTTATAAAGGGTTTGAAAGCCACTACTATAATGACTTTGTCACCTAATTGATTTTCTACTAATTTTTACATATTCAGAAACTTCATGTGTTTTTGGTGGACAGAATATTTTGGAGGTCTCTGTTGCTGCTTAGAATGTGGCCACTTGGCTATTTTACAGTTTTTAAAGCTATTTTATTGAATAGTAAAGCAGTGAACTTAGCCTTCGTTCCTCGTGTTTCTAATTTAAATATATAGTCTGTATTTAATTTTAGATATGTAAATACACATCAATACATATATATTTACCCATATGGCCCTGTGTAACCAGTGCATGAGGCTTGCATAGCCTAGCCCAAAAAGGTATATTCCAGCGTTCTGGGGAAAGAATTTTAAAATGCCATCCTCTAATACAGACGTTTATGAAACTTAAATGATTGAGCTTAACCATCTGCAAGAATGTCTGCAGAAAATAAATCACCTAGAAACTATAAATAGAAACGTGTTGCTGAGGCTGGGCGCAGTGGCTTACCCCTGTAATCCCAGCACTTGGGGAGGCCAAGGCAGGTGTATCACCTGAGGTCAGGAGTTCGAGACCAGCCTGGCCAATGTGGTGAAACCCCATCTGTACTAAAAATACAAAAAAAAAATTAGCCAGGCACAGTGGCACATGCCTTTAGTCCCAGCTAAACAGGAGGCTGAGGCACGAGAATCGCTGGAACCCAGGCGGCGGAGCTTGCAGTGAACCGAGATCATGCCACTGCACTCCAGCCTGGGCAACAGAGCAAGACTCCGTCTCAATTAAAAAAAAAAAAAATTGTGTTACTGGTATCAGATGTCAGACCAAGAACACTTCAGTCTCTCTAAGGATGCCCTCAGCTACCTCACTATTAAAGGACGACATCAACACAGAATGCACTAAACAGGAAATAAGCTGTAATCGAGGGAATTTCCATTATGTGTTACTTTTTGGTGACTAACATGGAATGTTGAAAAGGAAGAGCCGGAAAGCTCAGTTGTTTTCTTTATTCCTCTGACATTGTCCAGGCAAGGGGGCATCCTGATCAGATGAGTAGATTTGGCTGAGAAAAACCCTAGAGTAAGGCAGGCACGTTGTGGAGTTGGATGATCCAAGATGGCTCATAAAAACGTTTGTTCTCAATCCGGTTCAGGGCTCTGTCAGCAGTTCAGATTTGAACTGCTTAAATGAACCCTACAGATAAATTGGCACTCTAATTTGTAATCCTGTTTGTACAAGTTTAGAGCAGCCTAGCTCGAGTTCTCAACCCGTCCTCTTAGAAGTGAACTGATTGCACTGGATCCCTAAACCCACAATGTTGAGGACACGTGTGATGACTCCACTTGCGCAGCCAGCTGGCCTCTTGCACTTTCCCCTGCCCACCACAGTCCTATGTACCTAACCACTTAATTACCCTGTGTTAATTGCTTTTGTTTTGTTGGGTCTGTATTTTTGTGGTCAGTGCCTGCAGGCAGAAATGTGAAT